CCTGACCCCCCTGCCTGTGGGGCTGCAGCCCCCTTCTCTGCCGGCGGTCAGCGCGGGCACCGGCCTCCTCTCTCTGTCTGCGCTGGGCTCCCAGGCCCACCTCTCCAAGGAAGACAAAAACGGGCATGACGGTGACACCCACCAGGAGGACGATGGCGAGAAGTCGGATTAGTGGGTGGCTGGGATGGGGAGGGTGGGGGGTGGGACAGAGGGGAGACAGACACAGAGAGGAAGGTTCAGCACGCGAGACACAGTAATAGCTTGGGATTGGCCAAACTCCGGTAGTATTTATGGTAGCTGCCTGCTGGGGCTGTCGCCCTGCTTCTGTGCCCTACCCTGGCTTGGCTCCTACCCCCAATTCCTGGCCTCCCTCCTCCTCCTCTGTAGCTTGAATGGGTCAGTACCCACTCATACCACAGATGAGGCAAGCTAAGGCCTGGAGATGCAGGTGGGAGGCCAGGTCCTAAGGGAGCAAAACCTCAAGAGGTCCAACACCCCCTGCATTTCCCTGATTCACACACGTAACTGACAGTCTGCCCGCCAGGGGGGACCCCCACCTCGGGGGACACCCAGCCTCCCATCCTGGCACTGCATGCAAACACAATGCTAGCTGCCCCTCCCCACCCTGGGCACCCTGCGTCTCTTCCCTCCCACCCACTCACCCTCCATGAGTTCCTGATGCCTGCACCCACAAAAGAAAGGGGCCACCGACAGCGATCTTAGCCCCAGGGGAACAGAGTGGGGCCAGCAACTCAGAATTCCCTTTCTCCCCTTCCCAAATAAAGATGAGGGTACTCAAGTTGTCTTGGTTTTTATTTCCCCCCTCCCTTTTCCAGTATACTAGCTTGTCTTTTAAGAAAAGGGATATTAAAAAAAGGAAAAAGACAGAAAAATGAAAAAAAAAAAAAGCAACACCCACACCTGTGTCTGTATATAGCCTTTTAGACTGTCAGCTTTTGTTGTGTTCAATCGTTTGATCTCTACGGAGAGAAGTGAAAATGCTGTATCGAGGGTGGGCTTAGCTGTGCCTTTCAAATAAAGACGTGAGAAGGTTGGTCGCTGTGTTTCTGCCTCTGTGTTGTGGGCTGCCCCGCGGTGACCCCCTTCCCAGGGCAGGAGGGGGCCTCCTTCAAGCCTGAGCCCCCATCCTCTCTTATGAGCCTGGATATGAAAAGTCCCGAGTCCAGCTTGTAAATATAATTTAGTTCCTGAACTCACTGCCTAGGCCAGAGAGGGTCAGATGGAGGCTTGAGGTCACACAGCAAAGCCTAGGTGTTTGAGGTCTGGTCAGCTGTTTTGACAGGTAGGCAAAAGGACTCAGAAGCTAAGGGGTCACTGGGCATAAATGGTGGGACTGGTTTCTGAGCCTCAGGCCAGATGGTTCCTAAGTGAAATTCTTTACCCTTAAGAGACAGATGTTACAACTATGAACAGTCACTGTGCCCACACACACACATGCTTCTTCCAGATCAGAGAACTGATTCCTGGCTGGGCCTCAACTCTCCAAGGACCACGTGGAGCCTGCCTTTATGCCCCTGCATCCAAGTTGGGCCACCTAGGGAGGGGGAGCCAGGAGGAAAGGTAGTTCCCTAGGGCACCTGGCACTTCAGTCAAGAGAACATCTGTCTCCCCACCCAGGATATGGGGCTGAGGGCAGGGAATGGGTTGGAGAGTGGGAGCCGTCATTTTGACTTTGCAATATCTTCCATCTTGCAAGATCTTTGCCAGGGCTTCTTGGCATAGAACTCTCACTCTCAAGGGACTGGGAGCATGAGGAGACTAAGGAATTCTCAACTATCTGCCTGATCCAGTGGCTTTTCAGGCAGCCAAGGGTACAGTGAAAGAGGGAAGGGGTGGTGATGGACACCCAACTTCAGAGAAAATGTCTTCTGTCCCTCAGAGAAAGAAGGTGGAGAGGGGACAGGAGGACCCTCCTTCTGTACCCTACCCCCTCCCCCACTACAGTCAGATCACGTGCAAAAATCAATGTAATGAAACCACTCACTCCCTGGTTAACATGTATCCTCATGTTAATGTAGCAACTTCCCCAGTGATCCAGTGGTTAAGACTCTGTGTTCCCAATGCAGGGGGCCAGGGTTTAATCCTTGGTCAGGAAACTAGATCCCACATGCTGCAACAACAACAGCAAAAAACCCCAAAACTCATGTCTGTGACTTGGGGAGTATAAACTGTTAACATCTGCCTCCAAAAGACTGCTTGGCACCCAGCAATCCCCTTGGATTTCAGTGTTAGATCCATCCAACAGATATGCCACCAGTGTTTAGAGCAGCTGTAATAAGTCATTATTGCCCCAAACTGGAAACTACCAGCTGTCCATCAAAGGGTAGAAGGGTAATTTGTGACACCAGCTGCCCATGGAATACTATGCAGTCAGAAAAAGGACCAGAAACCACCTCACTCAACACCTGCAGCACACACAAACACTGAAGGAGCCACGTACAAAAGAAAAAATGCTGTGTGATTCCATTTATATAAAGAACAACAGGACCAAGTGACCTATATAGTTTCATATGTCATGGGGTTACCAAGGTGGACTTCTACCCACAATGGAAGCTTGGGGGCTGATCACACGAGTATATTCATTTTGTGACAATTGATCAAATGATAACCTGGGCACTCTTCTGTGTGTTCTACTTCACAATTTTTATCTTTTTGCCATGTGGCAGGCAGGATCTAGTTCCCAGACGGGGGATAGAACCCCTGCATTAGGAGTATGGAGTCTTAACCGCTGGACTGCCAGGGAAATCCCGGCAGGAAGGGGGAGTATCTTTTTTTTTTTTCCTCACAATTTAAAACAATGTTTTAAAGAATAGATTATCTTTGGCCTCTGTGGCCCTAGGAATAAATTCTAGGCCCAGGACACCCTGAGGATCTGCTACCCACCATTCTAATTATTCCTCCTCAGCAGGCTGGAGCCAGGTTGAAACATTTTGCCTTTCCTTGAATAGAGACCTTTGCACATGCTGTTCTGGAACAGTGATTTTTTTCCCCCTCCCCTGGGTTCTAATCCCCCAAAACCCTGAGAAGTCATTTTTCTGACCTTCCCTCACAAAGCAAGTTTCCCTGGTACTATAAAATTTCAATTGGGATGGGAACAGCAGCTGTTACTAATACATCCCATAATGGTTCTGGACACAGAGTCTCCAGCGTGGGCTTAAATCCTGGCTCTTCCTCTCACAGCAAGGTGATTCGAGCAAGCAAGCAGCTTCACTGCTCTAGGTCTTGGTTTTCCCTATCTGTGAAATGGGTATAATCACACCATTGTCATGAAGATCCTATCATGGACTCTGGAGAAAAGTGCTTTAGCACAGCCTCACCCATTCATTCATTCTTCCTTTTTTTTTTTTTTTTTTTAAACTTATTGAGCTCCTACTCTGAGCCCTGTGAACAGCAGGGAAGGAAAAAGAAAGACTTAAGTCCCCACCCTTGTGGCCAGATAGACACAAGCGTTGGGGAAAATACAAAATGGGTCAGCGGGTGTGTGGATAGAAACCGAGGCAGAGAGGAAAGTGAAGTCACTTGTCTGATCTGTTTCTGGGAAATTATTCCGAGGATTAGCAGAAAGCCTGCAAGGGCTCAAGAGAAGTCAGCTGATATTATTAGTATTATTACTGATGTTGCCGGCAGATGAAGGGCGTTGGGCTTCTCCAAAGAAAAAGGGGTCTTGCCCAGTCACGGACACCACGGCTGTGACCTGGGGTGTCCCTCTGGGCCTCGAAGCTCCCCCATCCCGCCCGAGGGCTGGGAAGGGTAAAGCGAGAGCCCTGGAGTCTGCTGTGGGGCGCGTGACCAGAGGGTCCTGGGGCGGGTGGGGGGAGGGAGGCGATCGCAGCCGGGAAGCCGGGGCGGGCGGAGGTGCGGTCTCCAGGGCCCCCTCCCCGCCGCGGCCTCCCGCGCTTAACGACCGCGCCGCCGGCGACCTCGGCTAATTGATCCGCTAATGGGCCCCGCGCCGCGGCCGCGCCTAATGAGGCGGGAGGAAGGGGAGGAGGGGGCGGTGGGGAGGGTGGAGGAGAGGAGGGGGAGAGGAGGGAGGAAGGAAGGGGGGAGGAGGAGGGGGTGAGGGAGGATGAAGAGAAGGGAGGGGAGAGAAGTGAGAGGCGGGAGGAAGGAGGGGGGTTAGGGAAAGGAGGGAGAAGGAAAGAAGGGGGGATGTGGGGGAGGGGAGGAAGGCGGGGAGTGAAGGAGCAATTGAAAAGGGGGAAGGAGGCAAGGGGGAGGGGCAGAGAGACCCCAGAGGGGGCTGCGGGGGCACAGGTCTTGGTGAACCCAACTGTTCTGACTACCCCACCCCCCTCCCAGACCCTAGGCCCTTCTGGAAGTCCCCTCTTCTCCCCCTTTTTAAGGGTCTTTCCAGCAGCGAGGATCCGTGTGCTTCAGGGTATGCAGACCCTGACTCTCTCTAAGCAATGATGTTCCTATGCATACAATCATGTCCTCCCACAGGCCCCAGTGGGAAGAGGCTGACCCAGCACCCTCCTGCACCCCAGTCCCCCAGAACCAGGCTCACCTCCTCCTCCTGGTTTGGCCTCCTGGGCTGAGGAGGGGTCAAGGACTAACAGATTTTCCAGCCAGCTGGGGGGAAAAAAAACATCCTCTAAATGAGGATGTGACATTAAACATTCACATTCCAGGCTGGCCAGGTACATCTGCTGCCTGAAATATTTATGTGGCCTTCCTCCTTCCAGAGTCTGGGAGTTTGCACCTTGAACTTAGACTTGGAGAAACAAAAAGCACCTGCAGTGATGTGGAATCAGGGACCTGGGCGTGACCACCCCACACGCCCACCCCATTGTACAGACAGGAAAACAGGCCCGAGGAAGGGCAGAAGTTGTCAAAAGTCACAAGACAAGACAGGGCCATAGCTGGTCTCCTGCCCTTGGCTGGCTGGCTGGCTGGTGGAGCTCTCGGCCCCACTAGGCAGGACCAGAAATAATCGGGAAAGCAATGCAGATCATAAGGATAACAGAAATCATGGATGGCTGCCAGCCACTGAACATCTATTATGCTCTGACCTTGGCTCGGGGCTTCAGCTGCAGTTCGCAAACAATTCTTGAACATGCCTGTTGAAGGAAGGACCATTTTACAGATAAAGAAACTGAGGCCTGAGGCGTCAAGTAGGGGCACACAGCAGAGAACCAGGATACTGGAAGACACACATCTTTGCCTGGACCCACTGCAGGTGGGTAGAGCTCTGGCCCTTCCCCTTGCTTGGGGCTTCATTCTACTTGGCATCCTTTTCCAGTCTGAGGGTGACTGAGCATGGTGGCACACACTCTCCCCGCAGCCACTGCACTCTGGCCATCACCACCACCCCCTCTCTCCTGCTGGCTTTATCTTTACAGCATTGATCGCTGTGAACAACTTAGGTCAACAAATATTCCCTGTCCTCTGCTTTTCCCCACACCGGAGATAAGTTCAACGACAGGCACTGGGTCTGTTTGGATTACTCCTGAATCCCTAGGGCCTGGACTCCTGCCTGGCGCACAGTAGGTGTTCAGGGAAGATGTAGGAAGAAAGTGAGAAGATAGCAAAGAGCCAGCGAGATGGGTGGGCCTAGGCCAGCCTTGTAGGGCTTCCGGGAACCGTGGAAGGTGATGGAACAGAGGAGGGGAGCAGCCACATCCATGATGAGTAGGATCTTCTGGGGTCGCAGAGGGGCCGGTCTGGAGGAGAGACAGAAGCAGGACCCCAGGACAAGGCCCGCATGGAATTTAGGTATTTTCTGACTTTAGGGGCTGCAGGAGGGAGCTGCCTGTACCCCAAGGCCCTGACAAACGCCCAAGCACTCTGCTCTGCAGAGCTCTCGCGGGGTCTGTCCTTCTCCGACTATCTCTGCACCTCCTCTGCCTCCGGGTACCTCCGGGTCTCAGTCTCTCTCTTCCTCGGTCCTTCAAGGTCTTTCTCAATCTCTCTCCTCCCCCTCGAACACTCCCTCCTACTGTGCTCCCTCCCCGCCATCCCCGCCTCTCTGTCGACCTCGCTGGTCCTCCCCGCCTCCAGCTCCCCCTACGAACTTCTCCCACCCACCCAGGGCCCCAGGGCACGGTTGCTGGGCGCCTGCCAGGCCAGGAAGCCCGCCTCTCCCCGCCCTTGACCCTCCGCCTCGGCGCGTCTTCCTCCCCTCCGCCCCCTCCCCGCCCCGCCCCTTCGCCCTTTCCTCCTCCGCCCCCTTCACCCTCTCCTCTTCCCCCGCCCCTCCTCCCGCTTAGTCCCCTCCGTTTCCTCCTCCCCCTCCCCTCTGAGCCTCCCGCCTCCCAGGCGGGGGAGGGGCGATGCCCTCGCTCCGCGTCCCCTGCTGGGCCTGACCTGGCCAGTTAGGTGACGCGTCGGTCCGGCCTGTGGGGTTACCTGTGGTTCCTCGGCCGCGGCGGCGTGGGAGGACGAGGGAGCGGCCACCCAGCACGCAGGAGGGGTGGCCCTGGGGACCCAGGACCACAGCCACCGAGCGCTCACCCCGAGCACCGCCTACTGTGTGACCTTGGACAGGTCCCTCGGCGTCTCTGGGCCTGGCCGCCTCCATCCCCCACCCCCACCCCGACTCCCAATCGAGACCCACCACCCACCGGCAACCACAATTTATTGGGCGCCTGCTGTGTGCCAGACTCTGTGGTGGCTGCCCTGGGCTCAGGACAGCACCTCTCTTTGCCCCTAGTGGAACCCACAGTGGGTAGAGAAGACAGGTAACAAATAAACACGTGAATAAGATAATTCCCGAGAACAGTCAGGTGCTGGGGAGAAAAATCCAGTAGGGGCAGGAGACAGAGAATGACAAGAGGCTACTTAAGCCAGGAGATGGGGGGAGGTCTCTCCAAGGAGGTGACATTTGAGCTGAGGCGGGGATGACAACAGGAGCCTGCATACAGGGGATGGGGTGGGGGCAGGTGTTCCAGGCAAAGAGAGCCCAGGGCAGAAGCCTGGAGGCAGTTCAGCCTGGTCAACTGCAGGGTCTCATCCCCTACTTTGCAGGGCAGCTGTGAACATCAGACACAAGGTCAAGTGAATAAAGCAGCTAGCCCAGAGTAATCAATGTCTTGAGAACCATTACCAAGGACAGCCCCCTTTTCCAGATGAGCAAACTGAGGCCCAGAGAGGATAAAACCACTGGCTGCACATCAGAAGTTGGAGAGGAAGATTTATATTGGACGCAGTGTTCCACTCACATCTGTGCAGTGCAAGGGGGCTGGGGGAGTCTCAGGTCCAGCAAGGAGCGCCCTCCCCAGGGGAGAGATCGAGGTAGAATTCACAGAGATGCCACGTGGCAAAGTACAGAGGGTGAGGTCAAGGCTTGGCATGGGTGGGGTGGCGGGGTGAGTTTGGTGATGTGGGGTCTAGGATAGATACATTGACCAGGAAACCCCAGGGTTTTAAAAATAGGGGATGCCTTGGGCTTCCCTGGTGGTCCAATGGTTAAGACTCCACTTCCACTGTAGGGGCCACGGGTTTGGTCCCTAGCCAGGGAAGTTTCACATGCCCTGAGGTTTGGCCCCCAAAAAGGGGGACACCTTATGAGTGTGAGCTCCAACCCTGTTTGCCCCAGTTGCACACCCTGACATCATCATAATAGCTGAAGCTGTTTCATCTGTCAAACTTTGATTCTGTGACACTGATGAGAAAATATCTGGCATTATCCCCATTTTACAGAGTCACAGGAGCACAGTAGCCAAGGTAGGATTTGATCCCAGACCTTCAGGTTGCAGAGGTGCCTTACTGGCAGGGTTAGCACTGGATAGGTTGGCAGGGGCTCTGGGACTCTGCCCCACATGTCAAATGACCTGGGAGAGGCTCTACCCCTAAGCTTCCCAACACATGTGGAACAGGTGCGGTTGGGCCTGGATAGACCATAAACATTAAACAAATAAATTGTGAGCATTCAGGACTTCTCTGGCGGTGCAGAGGTCAAGACTCCGCGCTTCCACTGCAGGGGGCATGGGTTTGATCCCTGGCTGGGGAACTGAGATCCCAGGAGAGATAGCCAAAAAAAATTTTTTTAAAGAAGTTGTAAATGTTCAGAGAGTGACTAGTTTCCAAAGGAAGTAAAATGAGAGAAGCTGACCAGGTAGGGAAGTTGGGGCCAGCTAGAGTCAGGCTGGCCAAGCCAGGCCTCCCTCAGTGGTGATGTGTGATCTAAGCTTGAGAGGAGATGAGCCAGTCCTGGTCCAGGCAAAAGAAACAGCTTGTGCAAAGGCCCTGAGGCAGGACCTCCAATGCCTGCGGTGTTGGAGGAACAGGGAAAAGGCCTGTGAGGAGTTAGTGATGAGGAGAGAAGGAGGAAAGTGATGGGGGGGTCAGATCTTGTAGACAGAGGTGGGGAGTTTGGATTTTATTCTGAGGGTGATGGGAGCTATGGAAGATTCTTGAGTAGAGGAAAGGGTGAGATCGGATTCACATTTTCGTGGGTGATCAAAGATGTGGGAAAAGTGAAAAGTGAGTGCATAGCCCAGCTGTTGGGTGTGAAGTGAGGCTGGGTAGAGAAGGACCCTTTGGGGTATAGGGGAAGTATAAATGGCTACCTTGTTTAGAGCATTTACTATGAGTTAAAAAAAATATTTATTTCTTTGGCTGTGCCAGGTGTTAGCTGCGGCATGTGGGATCTTTAGTTGCAGCACATGGGATCTAGTTCCCTGAACAGGGATCAAACCCAGGCCCCCTGCATTGGGAGCCTGGAGTCTTAGCCACTGGACCACCAGGGAAGTCCCTACTATGAAGCATTTTAAGTACTTTATAGGCCTGAACTTATTTGAAGAGTCTATTATCAATCTCCTTTTCCAGATGAGAATACCCACGGAGTCCAGGCCCATCCTGGACTCCCAAAAGTCCTTTTTTTTCCCCTTTGCAGTCCAGTTCTTGCCCAGGGGGAGGCTGGAGTTTGGAGCCCTCAGCCAATCCCAGTGCCTCCTGTCACTGTCTGCTGTCTCCCCTGTCCCCCGTTAACCAGAGCCTAATGGGATTTTACAGACCCTTGTGAAAGTAGGCAGAGTGATATTATACGCATGCTGTGCTCACTCCCCGCTTCAGCTTCACAGCCAGAGAATGTTCAGAGGTCCACTCAGTAAGGCAAGAGGTCAGACCTCAAGGCTCCTCAATTCCAGGGCAGGGTTTAAAGTTGCCCCATCTTTCCTCTTCCATGTTGGGTTAGGGTTATATAAAGGCACAGTTCAAATGAGGCAACTCCTATGTACCCTGCAGAACCTCAGCTTAAACACCCCACCAAACACCTAGCATGCCTTTCCAACTTTCTATGTAGGCACCTCACTCCTGGCTCTGCCTTCACCCCCATCTCCACCCCAGGTCCTCCCTTCTCCTCAGCCCTGACCACTCTCAGGGGGCTGAGTCTTATGCTTGGTCTCCTCCCACTTCCCCAAACTTGGGAACCCCTCCTGCATGGCCTAGCCCTGGCTGCAAGCTTGGGAGCAGCAGAAAGCATTGGTTTCATGAATAAATCTTGTGCAACCATCTCACTATACAGGTGAGAAAACTGGCCCAGAGAGATGCGCTCAAGTGTCCCTAGGTCACATGAGGAGGTAGAGGGCGCTAGAAGAGGGCAGGAGGGCTCCCCATGTTCATGGGTGGAAGGAAACGTGTGTGACATTTCTGAGGGGGGCTCACAGCCAACCGTGGCGGGAACGGAGGCTCAGAGGTCACCCGAAAGCCCTGGCCAGCGGGAGGGGACAGGCCTGGCTGGTGGCCCAGCAGCTCGGCTAGGGGGGCGGTAGGCAGAGGTTGGCGAAGTCGGAAGCCAAAGGCTTGGCCTCCCCGAGGGAGCCGCTTTCCCGGCCCGGGTCGGATCAATGGGCTGTAATTATACCGCGCCGGGCCCGGAGCCGGCGGGGAGGGAGCAGGAGCTGGCAGGAGAGAGGCGGCGGGCGGGGTAGCGCGGGCCGGAGAGGGACCCACGTTACTTTGATTGACAGCCCGGGCGGGCGCCGCGCGGGAGCTTCTGGGGCTCGTAGTCTTCGTGAGAATCCCTGCTCCCTTCTCCTCTCCCGTTCGCGCCCGGGGAAACTGAGTCATGGGGACCAGCAACCCTCTCCCTTCGCCTATACCTGGGTCCATCGCTTCCCATCCGACCTGATGGGAGAAACGGAGCCTTGCTGGGAGACTCCGGGCTCGGGTGAGAGTCTTAGTTCTTCCTGGGCATCTGGAGTGACTTGACGTCTCTACCTCAGTTTACCCATCTGTGAAATAGGGTGAAAGGCGCTAGTCGGTCCAGCCAGCTGGCCAGGCTTTTGCAAGGCAGTATATTGGACTACGGAACTCTTTTTAAGGGAAGACCAGTCAGGCTTAGGAGGTGGTCCGCTTCTCCCCGCTTTTTGGATACTAACCGAGCTGGAGTACCCCACGAAAGGCCAACCCGGGCAGAATCAGTCGTCCACGAGGATCTCAGGCTTCTCTCAGGGAGGGGAACCACACTCTCCATACCCTGCTGGGAGCTCCTTGCCGCCTTCCGATTGGCCCAGCCAATCCTAGCGCTTTCTGCCATTGGTTGCCAGATCCCTGATCACCATTGGTCATTGCCCCCTGTGACGTCACGGACCCATGTGGGAGCGCCGCAGGCGGATTGGCTGGCGTGCCCAGCCAACCACCGCAGAGAAAGGAATTTCCACAGTAGCTGGGGCGGCGAGGCTGATTTAAGGTGGTCTGAGCAATACCGGGTCCCAGTGCTGCTTCTCAGCTTTTTCCTTTAAAAAAAAACACACACACCACATCCACATCATAAAAACCCAGCCAGGAACCGGGGCTGAGTCTTTCTGTACAGTGGGAGGGAAGAGGTCAAAAGCTAACCCCTTTCCCCAACGTTGCCCTTCTCCCAGGGTTTTGTAGATGGGGAAACTGAGACCCAGAGGGGTGGGGAGTGAAGCCCTGGATGGCAAATGAGTTAGCTCCGGAAAGCCTTTCTAGTGAAATGAGAAGGTTGTGCTAGACTGCCCAGGCTGTAACTCATGCCTGGCAGTCCTTTCCCTGCCTCCCTGTCTGGCCGGATGTGGCATTTCAGCGAGTTATCAAGTAATCGGCCGCTTAGGGGTACCCACCCCCCCACCATCTTCTCCACCCATCTCACAGACTGCTCTCTGCTGAGCCTTCCCAAACTCTCAAAGCTGCTGCTTCCAAAGCTGGGGTTGCTTCTGCTCAGAACAAACCATCTCCTCCTTCCTGGCAAATTATACACACTGACTTGTAGTGTGTGTGTGTGTGTGTGTGTGTGCGTGTGTGGTTTTGTGGCTTCTCAGGCAATCCACAAATCTGTATTTACCCTCCCACGTGGAGTGTGCCTGGCTGAGGGATCTGAAGACTGATGGGTAAAGGTCCCCTCCTCCAGGAAGCCTTCTCTGAACTCACCAGGCAAAGCTCCTGTTCCTCCTCTGGGTCCCTTAGTCTCTGGGCACTCCCTTTGTCCTGGCACTGCTCATATGGACTTGCAGGGCGTCCTCAGCTCAGTCTCATGCCCCCTGCCCCTTGGAACCTCCCAAGCAAGGCCTGGGGCTGGCCCTCGCCAAGGCCCCAGCATCTTCCCCGTGAAGAGGTGGTTAGAGAATAAATATGAACCTGCCAATTTTAAACAGTCTATGCTCAGTATGTGTGTAGTGGGAGATGCCTTTTAGAGAAGCTGCCTGGAGGAGGTGCCTTTTGGGTTGAACTATGAAGGAATGGATTTTCTCCAAGCAGAAAAAGAGTGGGAGGGGATTCCAGAAAGAGGTAGTAACAAAAACAAAGGCCCAGAGGTAGGAAAGAACGCAGATGAGGTAATCTGGCTGGTGTGGCCTGGGCAGAGTGTTTCACCTGATGGGGGGAGGTAAAGCTGGCTCAGACCAGGTAGTGCAGGGCATCTGATGCTAGCCTGAAGATCTGGGACTTCGTCCCAAGGGCAATAAGGAGCCATGGGGTAGCTTTAAGTGAGGGCAGGCCAGACTCAGAAAGTGACAAGAGTGAAAAGTACTCAGAGTGAGAAGGTGGCTTGAGGTCCCGATGGGAGAAGAAGAAGGGCTGATGCAGGCAAGAGGTGTGGGGATGGGAAGCAAGGTTGCATGGTAGGTCAAGAGGTGAGAAGAGACTAGGATGATGCTCTAGGATCTTGGAGGATCAAGGTGATTGGGGTCTGACACGGCAACGGACAGGTCTGGGGAAAGCTGCTGCATCTAGTGGCCTGGGGGACATCCATTAGTGGGGACTCTACCCATGGGGCTGGGTCTCAGGGTAGGGACCAGGGGTGGAGTCAGAGCTTAAAGCCATCTTAATGAAGGTGATGCCTGAAGCCTCTAAGAGAACATGGTGCCTCAGAGCCTGGGCAGCTAGAGGTGTGGGCGAAGGTGACATTCAGATGACTAGGCTAGGAGGAAAGAGACTAGCCTCAGAGAAGATCCAGGGCCAGAACGTCAGGAGGGCATGGGGGCAGGGAGGGAAAAGTCCATTCTGTGCACAGGTCTGAGATGAGGGTTAAGAGGAGCCGTTGGACTTCAGGAGGTGGAAGCAGTAGAGGATGAGGAAGTGGCCCAGAGCGGGGAGCTTTGGTCTTCCCAGGGAGGTAAGATGCCTCCTGGAAAGGTTTTGGAATTAGGACTGCACAGATGCCCCAAAACTTGGAATGATGAACTTTTGGTGTCATGGGATGCTGGCACCCTCTGTTTCTTAGAATTCCCCAGCAGGAGTGTGGTCAGTGATGTCTGCCTTTAGCTGGATCCACTGTTTCTTCTTCTCACACCCCTGCTTGTTCATTTATTGAGTACTTACTGTGTGCCAGGTTCTGCAGGCACTAAGACAGGTTCTGTCCCAACATGGCCGAGTGAGGGAGAAGAATGAGTGGAACAACCCACAAAGAAACACAATCATGTCAAAACAAAACTCTGATAGGGCCAAGAGAGCAATCGAGAATACAAGATGCAGTGTTTGAGAATAACAGGGTGGAGTGGGTGGGTGAATATTGCTTAAATGGGTGGCTAGGAAGGGCCTTTCCAAGGAGTTGATGTTGGTGCTGAGACCTGAATAATGAGAAGCAAGGGAACAGCATTCCAGGGAAAGGGAGCAGGAAATGCAAAAGCCCTGGGGCAGGATTGTACCTGGTGTCTCGGAAGAACAGCAGGAGAAGCCCGTGTAGCTGGAGGGGAATGAAAGAGGGTGAAAGTGATGTGAGCTAGGATCAGGGAAGGGAGGGGGTTTGTGCAGGGCCTGTGGGAAGAGGAAGGAGTTTGGGTTTTTTCTTGATGGCAATAGGGAACCATCGAATACTCATACCTCAGCTTCCCTGGTAGCTCAGACGATAAAGAATCTGCCTGCAGTGCGAGAGACCTGGGTTCCATCCTGGGTCGGGAAGATTCCCTTGGAGAAGGGAATGGCAACCCACTCCAATATTCTGGCCTGGAGAATTCCATGGACAGAGGAGTCAGTGAGCCACAGCCCATGGGGTTGCAAAGAGTCAGACACGACAGAGCGACTAACATTTTCATAACACACACACGTATCTTTATCCTTTATTCTTAGAACCTACCTTCTTCTTCCCATGACTCCCCATCTTTATCCTTCATGTGTCAACCTCCTCCAAAAGGTTTCTCTCATACACTCCAAATAAGTAGATTCCCTCTAATCTCCATAATTGCCCCCCTAAAGCCTCTTTGTACACACACACAGTTTCATGATTTTCAAGCTACAATCTTGTTTTATCCACTGATCTCAGAGAAGGAAAGAAATCTGTTCTTCATCCATCCTGTATTCCTTGTGCCTAGAAGGAGGCCTGGCATGTCATAGGTGCTCAATAAATTCAACAGGGCTTTTGCATGCTTCTGCTCACTCACCTACAGACACAGGAGCAGATATTAACACAAGAGCAGGGGATTTCTCTGTTTGGCTCCCTGTTGAACTCCTGGGGCTGAAGCAGTGTCTGGTCCACACTAGGCTCTCCACACATGTTTGTTGATTGACTTAACAAACGACCGTGAAGTTTCTCATGAGCAAGATGGGAATAAGAATGTCCCACCTACCACCTCACTGGATATCTGCAGTCTGCAATGGGAGATGGAGCCCTACCCTCAGAGAGATCTCAGTCTGATGGCAGAGATTCATGTTTGTCCTCAGTGGGACCTTTGTTTTCTAGGAGCTCATGGTCTGAGAGGGGAGACAGCCAGGTCCACTGGTGTGGCCATGGGAACCCAACTCCCATCTCTGGAAGTTTACTCCATTCCAGGGCAGGCTGAGGGCTGTTCCTGTGCGTGTAGTCGAAAAATAGACCCTGCTTTGACCGTTTTACAGGTGCGAATACCGAATACCCAGGCCCAGTGAGAGTGGAGGGGCCTGGCTCTGCCCTGCAGCTCGACCCTTCTCTGCTGTTTTTACAGGTTAGACCCTGTCCCTGCAGGCAGGTTCTCCAGCCAGCGCTTGGCAGGCTGTTTTCCCCATCCTTAAGTCTAAGCCCACTTCCTCAAACCATTTCTGGGCCCCTCCTGTCCTCCCCGCACCAAGCTACCTTCACAGTGGGTCACTAGGTATTTAACTGGTTTTACTCTCTTGGGTCCTCGGGAGAGTGGGGAGTGGCGACGTTTGCGGGGCTGGACGCTAGCCTCAGTTTCCCTGCTGGTCGCGGGTGGAAGGGAGGGGGTGGTCCCGGGGCCGCGGCGCGCGGAGCGGGCGGGCCGGGTGGGCGGGCCGGGGGCGGCGGCGCCACCTTAAGGCGGCTCTGCCCGCGGCTCCCGGCCGAGCCCCGCCGGAGGGAGGCGGCTCCGCGCGGGGCCCGCCGCCCGCGCCTCCGAAACCGGCCGCCGCTCGCCCGACCTTCTGCGCCGGTCGCGCGCCCCACGCCCGGCGGGGGCCTCGGCGCCCCTTGGTCCCCGCGACCCCGCGCGCTCGCTCAGAGGGTGGGGAAACTCCGGGGTCCCCTGCCCCACACCGCTGCCCCTTCTTTCTCAGGCAGACCCCCCCACCCCAGCCTGTCCCCCACCCCGCCGTCGCCTGGCCCCCCCAGATCGTCAAGCACCGGAGTCGTGGCGGGGGGCCTCCCGGATCGGCAGGATGTACCCCCAGGGAAGGCACCCGGTGAGTAGGGGCCCGGGCTGCGGGGAGGTGGGGGACGCCGGGCGTCCAGGAACTCAGACCTGGACATCCCCCCCAAGACCCCGCTTCAGTCCGGCCAGCCCTTCAAGTTCTCGATCTTGGAGATCTGCGACCGCATCAAAGAAGAATTCCAGTTTCTTCAGGCTCAGTACCACAGGTAAGGGGTGGGGGACCGGGGCGCCCCTCCCCAGGGGGCTCGCCTAGGGGAGAGGGGCGGGGTCACCAGAGTGCTGGGAGGACAGAGGGACCCCAGGGCCGAGAGGAGGGCTTCCAGGTAGAAGGGTAGGTGAGGACAGCCTGTACAGTGCTGGGACACTTGGAGCCTGGGAAGGGATAGGGCCGGCCTGGGAGCGGGAGTTGGGGGGGTGGGTGTGAGGAGGTGGGGCAGGGGAGAGCCAATCTCATCACTGTGGAAACTGGCCCAAAAGGGGTCCGTGGGTGTCTCTGCTGGGGGGCAAGGAGAATGGAATCCCAATGTCCCATCTCCTTCCCAGCCTCAAGCTGGAGTGTGAGAAGTTGGCCAGTGAGAAGACAGAAATGCAGCGACATTATGTCATGGTGAGGGGGTCGTCATACTGGGTGGGAGGCAGTGGGGAAGATGGCTGGTCTGTGAGTTGAAACACGATGGGCATGAACCCCAACTCCAGTACCACTCTGGGACATGTCCCCAGCTGGCTGTGGGCCTCAGTTTCCCTCATCTGTAAAATGGGCTGCTTGGGGTTTCAGGCTGTCTCCCAGCTCTTGGAACAATAAAACGAGGATACTGCCTCTCCTCCTGGGCATCTCTGAGGGGCCGGGGCCTCTGGGCACTGCTCATCTACCCCACCCCCTGGAGAGAATGGAGGGAGGGGAGTCCTGCTTTCTTCTCTGTGCTCCCTCTCTGGGCCCCCAAGGAGCTGGGAGGCTCTGGGTCCTGCTGTGATCCCCCTGTGTCTGGGGGCTGTTGGAAGACCCAGAGTCATCCAGTGCAGTTGGACATCCATGGCTACGGTGGACACTACTAGATGGCCTTTCCTTCGCAGTACTATGAAATGTCCTACGGGCTCAACATCGAAATGCATAAGCAGGTAACAGTGTGTTGGGGGTAAGGGTGTCCAGTAGGGAGGAGGGGGGTCTGGAAGCTGTGAGAGGAACCCAGATCTCCAGCAGTCACAGGTCCAGGGAGGAGACGTCTTATCCTGAAACCTCTGGGACCAGGGGCCAGATTTCAGCCTCGAAAATGAACTTCTGGAGATCTTGTCCAGGAGAGATGTGGGCAGCAGACAGGGGCCAGGCTTCCTTGTAGCAGAGGCCAGCAGCCAGGTCACGGAGCCCAGTGAGCGACTTCTGTCCTAAGAGGGGACAAACGGACAGTCTTAGAGGTCCCTTTCAGCCCAATGTGTCTGACATACAGAGATGGATCCTTACGGTCTGAGATAGAACCCCTAGGTTCTGATGCCATTTTGAAGGTTCTGAGATTAATGCTAATGATCCAAGGTTCTGAGACTGTCTTCTGTGTCTGAGAGTGATCTCAGGGTTCTGAGTCATACCTGAAGGTTCTGAAATCGGCTCCATTTGCCCGACATTAACCCCCAGATCCTGAGGCTGACCTCAAGATTTTCTGATGGTTTCTAAAGGGGAGGCGAGAATTTTATTACAGAACCACCCATGCACCCAAATGTTTTCTAAGAGGATGAGAGGGACCCAGAGATTCTGAGCTTGATGGAATCTTTGGTTCTGTCCATCAGAATATTAGAATAAATCGGCAGAGCCTAGGTTCTTTCTGGTGGGTGGGAGGAAGTGAGGGTGAGCTGGGAGTGCTTGGAGGGAGCCTGCCTTGGCATGTTTTTCTGGGTCTCTGTGGGTTCTGCTGGGTCTGGTGTGGGTAGGAGGGGGCTGGTTTGCCTTCAGCAAGTGTGGTCCTATGGGTGCATGAAATTGACCTCTTTATGGGGTGGAAGGCAAGGTGTAGGGTCCCAGCTCTGGGAGCCTGGTTCCACCCTCCTGGTATGAGATGGAAGACACAACCTCACCCAGATGCATCCAGCAGCTCTGTAACTCAGGCAGAGGCAAAACACAGACTAACAGAAAACCCCCTTCCCCACCCACTCACATGTTTCCCCTCTGTTCTGCCTCTATGGGGCACTCCCTGCCCAGCCCGGGTCCCAGATGAAACCTACAGGAAAAACCACACTATTTCTAACCCACTTTCTGATACCAAATGTGTGTGTTTTCGCTACACAGAACAGTTCTGGAAATCTGACACCAGCTAGGTGTCCCTATGCTTCAGTTCAACCCTAACACACCTACCCAGAGTCAGTGCAAACCCTCAGCGGTTCAGGGTCCTAATACATGTAGGATTAGGGCCCCACAGGGCTGCTCCTGCCTCCTGGGCTTCTGACCCACCAGCTATAAATCAGAGTTCCCATAACCCACTCCCTGGTCTGATGTTTTGCCAGAATGGCTCACAGAACTCAGGAAAGCTCTTACTTACATTACCCCATTTATGATAAAAGATATGATGTAGAAACAGCCAGATGGAAGAGATACACAGGACAAGGTTATGGAGACGGACCTGGAGCTTCTGTGCCTTCTCCGGGCACTGTGTCCCAGCACAAACATGCATCCACCCACCAGGAAGCTCTCTGCCACCCCCAGCCCCTCTCCCCTCCTTAGAGGTCAGGGGTTGGGGGTAGGACTTAAAGAAGTTCCATCCCTAAGTGTCACTCAATGTGGGTGACATGGACTTATTGTGAATGACAAAATGTTCCTCTCGCCTCTACTATTCTGAAATCCCTAGGGTTGTGGGAGCTCTGTGCCAAGAACAGGGCAAAGAGCAAATGTGTGTATATATATATATATTTTTTTAACTTTTTATTTTATATTAGGTTAGAGTTGATTAACAATGTTGTGTTAGTTTCAGGTATGCAGCAAAGGGACTCAGTAGCTATTCTTTTTCAAATTCTTTCCCCCACAATGTGTATTTCTTATAGCATCACACTCCTGAGTGTGGTATACTGGGATGGCCTGTTGACCGCAGCCCCAGGGCACAGGGGCAACTGAGAGAGGGGCCATGCCTGGGAAAGACCTGGGTCCAGCCAGGGCTTGAACTTGGGACTCCAGGCGTGGGGGGCTCCCCTCCCTCTGTTTATGCTAAAAGCTCCTGGTGGGGCAGGGGTAGGTCCCAGTCTGCACTGGGCAGCTGCACCTGCTTTCTGGGAATCTCTGTTGAGGGGGTCTGGCAGGTGGTATATCCGTCCTGTCTCCCAGCTCAAGGCTGCACTGGACATCAGGTGGACAGCCTCTCCGCCAGACTCTCAGCCTGTGTCCCATATTTGCACCTGTGGGTGACAGGCCCCTCACCCCAAGCTTTGCAAAGGCTTGTTGTGCCCCGGAGTTGAGGTTGTGGATTGACAGCCTGCCCTCCAAGCCTCCTCCCCGTTGCTTCCTGCCAGGCCGAGATTGTGAAGCGCCTCAGTGGGATCTGTGCTCAGATTATCCCCTTCCTGACTCAGGAGGTGAGTGGGCTTCGTGGGGGTGGGGGAGGGAAACTGGAAGAAGGATTTGGCCTGAGGGTCTAGGCACTGGCTGGGCTGGGACTTTCAGGATGGAGGCAAGTGTTGGCTGAGAGGGAAGGGGGTTAGTGCTCAAGCCTGCAGCCAGGCTGCCTCGGTCTAAATCCTGACCATGTGGCCTTAGGCTAGTGGCTTGCCCTGTCTGTGCCTCTGTCATAAAATTTAGAACAGCGGCTACATACAAGGTGGTGAAGATGATGCTGGTGTTTAGTAAACACCTAATAAAAGTCTGTCCCTGGTACTTAGTCCCTACATTATGCTGATGGAAATCAGCCAGTCACAAAAGGACATATACTATGTGATTCCACTCACAGGAGGTCCCTGGAGGAGTCAGATCCACAGAGACAGGAAGTAGGTGGTGGGGCCAAGGGCTGGGGGAGGGAACGGGGTGTCGGTATTTCATGGGGACAGAGTTTCCATTTGGGAAGATGAGAAAGTTCTGGAGATGATTGTGGGAATGGTTGCAGGACAATGTGAATGTGCTTAATACCACTTAAACATGATTAAAGGGTAACTCTTATGTACTTGTAATCACAATAATACAAAAATGTGGAAAGGGGCAGATAAGGCAAGAGAGTGTGAGCACTTCATTGAAACTTAAAAAATAAAGTTAGCCCTTATTCAAATGCCCCAAGCTCTTCAGGACCTTTGCAACCCCCATTCCTGCTTCCATCTGGAACATTCTATCTCCAGAGAGATGAGAGGACAGATTCTGACACAAGGTGCCTACACAGGGGGCCCTCACTGTGTTGGAGACCACAAAAGGGGAAAGATGCTCCTTTTGGTTTGGACCCCATCAAAACTCCATCAAGGTTTCTGGGCTCTTGAGATGGAGTGAGATTCGTTCTGTCTGGTCTCGGATTTAGAGATGATGTCTGAACAAGGTGGCCCAGCATGACAGAAGCCAAACTACAGTAGGAAATAGGGTAAAAGGACTTTGGGAAGGAGTGAATTAAGACACCCATGTGTGCCCCAGCAAATTCTATGCTTCTAGACCAGGAGTCAGCAAACAACAACCTGAGGGCTAATATCACTAGCCCTTCACTTGTTTTGTAAATTAAGTTTTATTGGCACACGCTCATGCCCATTCATGTGCTTATTGTCTATGGCAGCTTTCCCCATAAAATGGCAGAGCTGAGGAGTTTCCATAGAGACCCTCTGGCCTACAAAACCAAAATTATTGACTCTCTGGCCCTTTGCAGTCAAAACATACCAACCCCTGGCCTGGACACACTCTCACAGGTGTGCCCCATACAGGACCCCCCATCAGTATCCTGACACCTCCTTAGTGGGAACAGCCCCAGTCTCCATCCTGGGTAGTTTGGGTGCAAAAGTGGCCTTAGAGAGAACACAGGAGCCACCAGCTATATGTGGCCTTTTACATCTGTATTAATTTTTATTTCTTTTATAATGTATTACATTAAATTAATATGTAAATTTCTGTCAAATTAATTAAAGGAGGCATCTCGTTACTCAGTTGCACCAGCCACATTTCAAGTGCTCAGTGGCTGCAAACGGCTTCTGTATCCAACAGTGCAGTTGAGGATGTTTTATCACCGTGCGAAGGGGGGGAGAGGAAGGAAGGAAGGAGGGTGGGATGAGGGTGGGGTGCATGGGGGGCCCTTTAGAGATTGCCAGTTTGTATTTTGTGACCTGGGTGATTGGTCCGTGGCTGCTTATTTGTACAGTGGTTCTTTACTGGGGGGTGATTCTGTCCCCAGGGGACACTGGGTGATGGTGGGGACATTTGTGGTTGTCACTACTGGGGGTGTTTCTGGCATCCAGTGAGTGTTGGGGGCAGGGATGGGGCTCCACACACCACAGTGCCTGGGACGGTCCCCATACAGGGTGACCCAGCCACGATGTCAGCAGTGCCAAAGGCGGGGACTCTGATGTATAAACTCCGCTTTCTAAGTATTGGTTTGAACTGCACTGCAGTGCTTTGTTTGTTTCCTGATTTTGAAAGGAGAGAAAGAAAATATAATAGAGCAAGTGAGAGAAGAAGAGGGGCGGGTACTTTCCTGATGGTCTAGTGCTCCCAATGTAGGGGGTGCAGATTGGATTCCTGGTCAGGGAACTAAGATCCCACATGCCAGCAGGGTGTGACTGATAAAAAATGGGGGGGAGGTCCCAGAGGGTGTTGTCTGAGAAGTGGGGTCTCTGATCAGATAAGGGAGCTCTCCTGAGCACCCCTGATCCCACCCCTACCTCCAGCACCAACAGCAGGTCCTGCAGGCCGTGGAGCGGGCCAAGCAGGTGACAGTCGGGGAGCTGAACAGTCTCATTGGGGTGAGTCATCTTGAGCCCGCCCTGCCCTCTGTGGTTAAGCTGGGGGTGCTGGGTGGGCAGCTAGCTGGCCTGGGCTCCAGTAGCCTTGGAGACCCCAAGGCATGCCCTCTCTGCCCAGACACAGCCTCTCCGGCTAGGGGAAGCGGGGGCTCCCAGGGTCTGCCCCCGCCCGCCCCTGGCCCACCCCCCTCCTCTCCAGCAGCAGCAGCTCCAGCCACTGGCCCACCACGCCCCCCCTGTGCCCCTCACCCCTCGCCCAGCGGGGCTGGTGGGCGGCAGTGCCACGGGGCTGCTGGCCCTGTCGGGAGCCCTGGCCGCCCAGGCTCAGCTGGCTGCGGTCACCAAGGAGGACCGGGCAGGTGTGGAGGCGGAGGGGTCCAGAGGTGAGTGGACATTCCCAATGGCAGGGGCTGGGGGCATAGGGAGAGGATAGCAGGACCACTAGACTCATCTAAATGAGAGGGAATGGGACTTCCCAGGTGGCTCAGTGGTAAAGAAGCTGCCTGCCAATGCAGGAGACATGGATTCGATCTCTGGTCCAGGATGATCCCACATGCTGTGGAGCAACTAAGCCTGTGTGCCACAGTAATTGAACCTGTGCCCTAGAGCTGAGGAGCCACAACTACTGAATCCTGCGCTCCTTAGAGCCCGTACTCCACAACAAGAAGCCACTGCGATGAGAAGCTCACCTAACTCAACTAGAGAGTAGCCCACACAGCAGCAAAAACCCAGCACAGCCTTGAAAGAAATAATTAATAAAATAAAATTTTAAAATGCGAGGGAATGGAGGGGGCTGCAGAGTTGCAGGTTCAGTTCTGTTCCTCATGGGCTATGTGTCTCTGGGCAAGTTATAAACCTCTCTGGGCACCTATCTGAATGGTGCAGGGAAGGGATAGTCCACTCCTTGCCAGGGTGTTAGAAGGAGGAGGGAGTTTCTGAGTTGGGAAGAGGGCTTTATGTGCTATGGACAGCTGAGCGCTCTAGCACCGTGGGATATAACCCCGCTTCTTTTCCTTTCTCTCTCTTTACCTCACCCCCGCGCGCCAGTGGAGAGAGTCCCTAGCAGGGTAAGTTGACAGACTCGGGGGACTTGCCCTCTTATCTAACATTTGCTTTGTATTCACATGTGGCTGAAGCTGCTTGTTCTGAGCTGTTAGAGGCCTCAGAAGGAGACCACATCCCACTTTCACACTGTGTAGCCTTTTTTTGGGGGGGGGTAGGGGACTGCCCATAAGACTAGAGTTTTATTTATTTCAAATTTTCCATCTCTAGCGATTTTTGCAATAGAATAAATGAATGCATGCCTGGGTAGCATTCCATCCATTCCTCCATCATTAATTTATCCCTCATCCTCTCCATTTTTATCATCTACAAGAGTGCTGCACAACAGAAATATCATGTGAGCCCTGTAGGTAGTTTGTAAAAATTGTTTAGTTTTGCACTCATTACAGATGTGCAGGAGGCCCGCAAAGAAATGTACAAGAAGGTCCCCTGTACCCCTCACCCAGTGATAACATCTTTCAGAACTAAAATACAGTGTCACAGTCAGAAAATAGACATGGGTGCACCCCACAGGGCTTATTCCCACTTCACGGCTTTACATGCACTCAAGTGTGTGTGTGTGTTTCCATGCATTTTCAATCACGTATTTAACTTTCTGTAAACATCTCTATGAATTTTCTAGTAGCCACATTAGAAAAGTTAAGCAGGTGAAATGAATTTCAACAGTAAATTTTATTTAACACAATGCATCTACAAATTTCAACCTGTAATCAACATAAAAGGTTTTTTTGTTTTTTGAGCAGAGAAAGGTTTATTGCAGGGCCATGCAAAGAGGCCTGCAGGGTTGGCTCATGCCTCTCTTAGAACCCAAACTCACAACATAAAACAGTCTTAATGGGATCGTTTCTATCTCCAAGCTCCGAATGCATTTTGCACTCAGAGCTTATTTCAGTTTGCGCGGGTGCCCCCCAGGGGCCCTTGGGTGATGTCTGGGGACATTTGTGATTGTCACAACACCACTGAATCTGCCCTTGGAAGGTCCTTTTTTCCAGATGAGAAGCTTGGGGCACAGATCCTAATAACAGTGATGGGGATCCTCGGTTCTGGCTGGGCCAGGACCCAGTCTTGGGCTCAGGGCTCTCACTCTTTCTCCTGCCTGGCCCCTGTGGCTCTGCAGAGTGTGTCTCCCTCACCCCCGGAGAGTGTGGTGGACGAGGAGCGGCCCAGCGGCCTGGGTGGAAATGGAAAGCAGAGAGCTGAGGAGAAGGATCTGTCAGGACCTTATGTGAGTAGAGGGGGAGGCACGCATGGACTTGGGTGGCAGATGGGGGTGGGGTGAGGCCAACCAGCCTGAGAGGTTGATTGCCTCTGTGGGTCGAGAGCTGGGAAGGAGGTAAGGATGCTCCGGGCCTCTGCCTCTCCCCCCACTGCACAGAGGGGTAAACTGAGGCCACACAGCACCTCTTGGGTCAGAATCATCTTCTCCATTCTTCTCCGTTGAGAGATTTCCCCCACTGGCCTCCCTTGTACTTGAACAAATGAACCAAGCCCCAGAATCCCAATCAGACCCTCCCAAGGAGATGTAAGGGGGTGTGGAGGCAGGGGTGGGGCCAGGGTGAGTTCTCTTCCCCCCATGTCCCCCCAGGAGAGTGACGAGGACAAGAGTGATTACAACCTGGTGGTGGATGAGGTGAGTCAGGGTCCAGGCTCTTCCTGCTCTGACCTCAGTTCTGGTCTGGGCACAGAGCAGGCAGTGGGTTATCTGGGGGGGTTGGGGGGCCTAGGGGGAGTGGGGGCCTGGTGTTCCCCTCTCTGTGGGATGGCTGGGATGGGGGTGCTGTGGGGCCAGGGGGAGTAGGGGAAACCAGGACATCCCAGGCTGACCTCCTGTCCATAGCATAGATGGGGAAATTGAGGCCCAGAGAACCCCAGAGGTGGGCAATGGAAGTGGCTTCATGCCCTGGTTCTCTGCGTGACTTTGGGGCAGTGACACCCCTTCCCTGGCCTCACTTTTCCTCATCTGTTCAACGAGGGGAAACAAAACCAAGCCCATATAGAGTTGTTGCTCTGTGTAGCTTATGTCCTTAAACCCATTGTACAGATGAATCAACTGAGGCACAGGGAGGTTTCATAATCCTCCCAAGGTGGGTCCTAGATGTCCACCCTAGAGGTCGGGGTGGAACACGGGTTGGGTGTAGAGAGGAGCTCTCCTTCCTCTGCCACTTCAGCTCCCCCTATTCATCGTCACCTCCTCAAACCCAGGACCAACCCTCCGAGCCCCCCAGCCCAGCAACCACCCCATGTGGAAAGGCACCTACATGCATCCCTGCTCGTCGGGACCTTGTGGACAGTCCAGCCTCCTTGGCCTCCAGCCTTGGCTCACCGCTCCCCAGAGCCAAGGAACTCGTCCTGGTAAGGAGTTGGGGGGCCTTGAAACTCATTTTATTCATCCCAGGGACCTGAAAACAGACTGCCACATTAGATGTGGGATGAGGGAAATGAGCCAGGCTGGTGTGGTCCAGCATTCCCTTCCTGATTATTTTGTTCCTAAAAATCCACCTCTGCATTAGCCCGGTAATTTTTCCTAAGTGGACTCATTCCGTGGAATCTCAATAAATCTGAAAAGGCAACTTTGTAAATAATATTAAAACGTAACTCACCATCTTATGTGGAAAACAAGTGTCTCTAGCACTAGGTAGGAAGTCAGTGAAAATAAACACAGTGAGTGAAACTATAGAATTGGCAACTGGCCAGGCTGACTCCAGCCCTGTGAATGTTAAGGTCTTGGGGACACACATACCCGCCCCAACTATAAGGAAAGATGACTCATACCAGAAAAACTTTCTCCTTGCTTCTCCTGATGTTTGATGCCAGGTGTAGGGGACCACCTGATAGCACTCCCCCACCCCTCCCAACACCCCCGGGCATTCTCAGCTCTGCTCGGTTCGTCCCTGCCCCCAATTCTTCCCCAGACCCCTGCCCTGCACTTACCAGGGAGACTGTGTCGGTTTCTAGGCCTCCCCTCCCAGCAGGTTGCTATGGCAACTGCCAAGGTTGGGGCTCCCATGGCATCTCCTGTGCCCTCCTCCCATGCCAAGGAGATGCAGAGTGGGAGGGGCAGTGCTATTTTAATGGAGAAGCCCCCAGAAGGCCCCCCTGTCCCCGTGTTGGCCCCAACTACTCCCTGCCATGGGTGTGTGAATGTGGTTGTCACAAAACGTGTGATCCTGTGAAGGAAAGATAGGGTGCAGCCCACACAAGATGAGGATGTGAAGTTTCTTGAAAGGCAAAGAAAGCGATGACAGAAAGCCGAGATGGAGCTTGTTCCTACATGGAGGTTCAGCTTCCCCTCTCTTCCAGGGTCCCCATGGGGAGGGACAGCGGTGGGGGACATCCCCTCCTCGTGGGGAGCAAGTGGGTGCCCAGCAGTACTAGGGTCTTGCCTTGGGAGCACGCTGTGGTCTCCTGCTTGCAGAGCCCATCCTCGAGTTTGGTCCTTTGCCCTAAAGGATTTGACACCCTCTAAGTCTGTGTACTGCCTTCTCTCGTAATCCCCATGGTATGTGAATGTTCACCGCCCTTTTTTACCCTGCGGCTGCATCGTATACCTTATCACACACATGCGCGATTCTCCCAAGACTGCATGGGTTCCTGTGTGTGCCTCCCAAGGGCCGATGCTCAGATGTCCACCTGGAATTCGGATGTGCACGGATGCTCACATGGATCCCGTGCTCAGGGGGTCACCTGTGGGGCCTGTCCCCAGGTGTCTGTGTATACCTGCCATGAGCCCTGGTCTGCCCCAGGGGTACCTGCTCTCACTTTCCGCTCAGATCCTTGGGCTACAAGGCACCAAGTGCCTGCTGGTGTTCAGTCCTGCCCTTTCCCCCCAGAACGATCTTCCAGCCAGCACTCCCGCCTCCAAATCCTGCGACTCCTCCCCGCCCCAGGACGCATCCACCCCTGGGCCCAGCTCTGCCAGTCACCTCCGCCAGCTAGCAGCCAAGCCTGCCCCTTCCACAGACAGTATTGGTGAGTCCCTGCTCCCTTCTGGGGAGTTCTTGAAAATGGGGGTGGAGAGACAGGAGGTTTGGCTTACAGCCCTGGCATTACCTTGCCCTTTCCATGACTCTGAGCTAGACACTGCCTCACTCTGGGCTTCTTGTTTCTTCATTGTCTTGGCTTGATGGCGGCAGGGGTCAACTGAGTCCCAGAGAGGGGAAGTAACTTTCTTGGGGGCTCCAGTACCCTAGAAAGACAAGTTTTGGAGTTACACATGCTTGGGTTTGAGGTCAGCTTTGGACACTTACTCGCTGTGTGACCTTGGGCCAGTGACCTGACTTCTCTGAGCCTCACTTTCCCCATCATTATTATGGGGGTTGGGGTAGAGGGAGGGACCCAAGATGGGCAAGGTTGGAGGTTAGGGGTAGAGTGGGGGAGGTTTGAGGATGTTCCTGAGATGTTGCTGGACAATTGAGTCTGGGTTTTGAAGGATGCGTAGGAGTTCAACAACTGAAAAAGGAAAGGGAAAGGCTTGTTGGCCAGAGTGAACAGCATCTGTTAAGTGCCTAGAGATAGGACAGGGTATGGTGGATGCTGTGCTAGAACATGAGAACCTTGGAGCTCCCCTAAGGCATTTGGACCTAAGCCCAACATGTCTGAAAACCTGTCTTTGTCCCTTCTTACTTAGCCCTGAGGAGTCCCCTGACCCTGTCCAGTCCCTTCACCACATCCTTCAGCCTGGGCTCCCACAGCGCCCTGAACGGGGACCTCTCTGTGCCCGGCTCCTACGTCAGTCTCCACCTGTCCCCCCAGGTCAGCGGTTCTGTGGTGTATGGACGCTCCCCCATGGTGAGTCCTCAGGGTGAGAGATGCCTGGTGTCAGCAGGACCTAGGGGCTGGGGGCTGGGAGGAGAAACCAGGTACACGTGGAAAGACCAGGGAATGGGGAAAGTGAGGGGAGTCCTGGCTTGGTGAGTGCATGTGAGAAGATGATCTGACAGTCTCAGTAGCCCCACAAGCTTAGTACAGATAAGCACCTGTGACTATGGAAAAGACAACTGTGATCATGCTGCATTAAGAGAAACAAAACCCCAAACATGGAATGTGAGAGTCCCCTTCAGCCTTCTGGCAGATGGTGTATAGTAGTTTGCCCTGATTTTTGAGGGACTTCAATGATTTTGTTAGATTGCAGAGAAAGGACTAGCCCAGGGAGAGGACAGAGTGATATCCGTGAGGAGGAGCTAAAGGAGAGGCATGAGACCCCCAAGATGCAGCAAGGGGAGGAGACAAGGTCTGTGTGGGCCCCAGTACTGGGATAAATGCTGGCTAGAGCTAGCCATCCTGAAGTGGCTGTAGATGCCTCCAGAGGGAATAAAATGTCTGTCACTGGAGTTATCCCAGGCCAGAGGCTGGATGGGCATTTGCAAGTGACATTGTAGAACAGAGGTCAGCAATGTTTTCTGTAAAGGGCCACATAGTGAGCATTTTTGGCTTGGCAGACCAGTTGGTTCCTATCACAACTACCTAACTCTGCTTTCATAGCTCAAAACCATCCTAGACAATATATACAGGAATGAGATGGCTGTGTGCCACTAAAACTTTATTTACAAATACAAGCAGGGGGCCGTGGTTTGCTGACCCCTGTTCTGAGCATTGGACAGGAGATTCATCAGGATCCCTCCAACTCTGGGGTGCTAGGATTCTCCAGCTAGAGACCTTGGGGTTCCCTCATGTGAAAGCCTCCATTTTCCCATCTGTAGGATAGGTAGAGAAGAGGGCACCTCCCCTTTCTTGGGAGGGGCTGATAAATCGGTGGGGAGGGGTCCTCTGATAAATGGAGAGGGATGTGGCAAATGAGCATAGGAGAGGCAGACACGGGTTTTAGTCACCCTCCCCATGACATCCTCATTGGTGTTTTGGCAGATGGCATTTGAGTCTCACCCACATCTCCGAGGGTCGTCCATCTCTTCCTCCCTGCCCACCATCCCTGGGGGAAAGCCGTGAGTACCAGGGTGGTGCTCCCTGCCTCCTCTGAGGCGCTTATATTGTGGGGTGGGGGTTGGGCTCTCCCTCTGCCTGTCGCAAAAGTCTCTTCTGCAAGATAACTGGGGCTCCCAGAGTTGCTGTCTGGATAAAGAGATATGTAACAAGCAGGATCTAGACTAGGTTGCTGTCTGGATAAAGAGAGATGTAACAAGCAGGATGTAGACCAGGGGTTCTCAACAGGGCGTTGATTTGTGCTGCCCCTCCCCCAGGTCATTTGGTGAGGTCCGGTGATATGTTTGATTGTCACACCCCAATGCTTCTAGCCTCTAGAAGCAGGGGACCCAAGGATGCTGCTCCATACCCAATAATGCATCCCACCCCAGAGAATGAGCCGGCCCCAAGATCGGTAGAACTTTTTGCCATGAGAAGAACATTCTATACTTAGGGCTGTCTGATCTGAGAGCCATCCGCCATCTGCCATCTGTGGCTATTGAGCACTTCAAATGTGGTCACTGCAACTGAGGAACTGAAATTTTACATTTCTTTAAATTTAACTCGCCCCGTGTGGCTGCTATTGGACTGCGTTGTCTGGAACTCACAAGGCATCTTCCTGGATCTTCTATTCACTGACATGTACTAAGTGCTTGCTTCAGGCCACAGCCAGACCACTTCCTCTTTTGTATCACGCTGACCGTGCCACATCGCCTTTGATCCTGGGGCTCTGTCCCTAAACACATGGGGGCACAGGCAGGGGAAGACCCCTCCCTGCCCTGGGGGGTGAGGGTAAGGAGGGCCCCGGCTCCTTGTGCATCATGCCCTACCTCCATGTCCAGGGCCTACTCCTTCCATGTGTCTGCGGACGGGCAGATGCAGCCGGTGCCCTTCCCTTCCGATGCACTGGTGGGTGCAGGCATCCCCCGGCATGCGCGGCAGCTGCACACACTGGCACACGGCGAGGTGGTCTGCGCAGTCACCATCAGCGGCTCCACACAGCACGTGTACACGGGTGGCAAGGGCTGCGTGAAGGTGTGGGACGTGGGCCAGCCCGGCGCCAAGATGCCAGTGGCCCAGCTGGACTGCCTGGTGAGGGTGGGGCGGGGCCTGCAGACAAGGGATGGGGACCTTGCAGGCCAGAGGGGCAGGGATTATAGGGCACCTAGGGGCTATAGGCTATAGGCCAATGGGTGGAGTTTATAGGCCAACCAGGGTTGGGCCTTTGGCCAATTAGGGGCAGAGCTCTTAGGGCACTGACAGGTGGAGATTATAGGCCAACAGGACACGATTTATAGCCCAACAGGGATGGGGTTTATGGGCCAATGGGTGGAATTCAAGGGCCTACCAGGGGCAGAGCGTATAGGCCAATGGGATGATTTCTTCAGCTGGGTTCCTGCAGGCTTGGCTGGAGGTCCCACCTACTGTCCTCGCTTCTCTCCCCTCCCAGAACCGGGACAACTACATTCGCTCCTGCAAGTTGCTGCCTGACGGCCGGAGTCTGATCGTGGGCGGTGAAGCCAGCACCTTGTCCATCTGGGACCTGGCGGCACCCACTCCTCGAATCAAGGCGGAGCTGACCTCCTCGGCGCCCGCTTGCTATGCCCTGGCTGTCAGTCCTGACGCCAAGGTCTGCTTCTCCTGTTGCAGCGACGGCAACATTGTGGTCTGGGACCTGCAGAACCAGACCATGGTCAGGTGGGTGGCCGGTGCCCTGTGACCTCGGGCAAGCTCCTGCCCTCTTCTGTTGGTGCCGCCTGGGAAGACGCTAAAGCGGCACCACCTCTGGGGTTGACACCTGGGCCCTCCTTTCTCCAGGCAGTTCCAGGGTCACACGGATGGGGCCAGCTGCATTGACATTTCGGATTATGGCACTCGGCTCTGGACAGGGGGCCTGGACAACACCGTGCGCTGCTGGGACCTGCGGGAGGGCCGCCAGCTGCAGCAGCATGACTTCAGCTCTCAGGTGCCACACGGGGTCTGGCAGTGGGACACAGCTCCGGGAATCCAGCCTCCCTTTCTCTCCCCCTGAGGCACCCAGATGCCAGATAGGACCAAACACCTAGTCTCTATGTCCATCTTTCTTGCCCTTGAGACACATCCAGTCATTCCTCTTTAATCAGTCCTTCAAAGACAGACAGGGAAACACAAAGGAGATGATTCATATCAAGCTGTGAGGCTACTAAGACCCTCAGATCATCTTCCCAGATGATCTTGCCGAAACATTCCCCTGTTCCTTTGTCTTCTCCTGTGTAGCTGGTTTCTCCTCCCAGCCTTCAACCTCTTGACCCTCCTGAGAGCTCCTGACCTACCCCTACCCCAGGACTCATCACGGAGGAGCTGCTGACCCCAGGGGATAGATAGAAGCTGATGTAGGAGCTGGATACAGAGAGGTCTCTGTTGGGGGTACTCTGAAAATCAGGACCAAAGGATGTAGTAAAGGGGCTGGACAGAATCATGGGGCTCCCCGGGGCTGAGCAAATAGTCAAGGACAGGTCTTCAGGTACCTTAGACCCAGGTCCTGTCTCCTGCTGCTTTGGGGGCAGGTTGTGAGCTCCTTGGCATGTTTTTTTAAGGCCTCTGTGCTCTAGTCTTACACACACCATGCCCCGTGACCCCTCTAGATCTTCCCACTTATTGTTCCTTCTGACTGACAGGCCTTTCCCTTCCTTCCTCCAACTGGTAAACTCCTACCCATCCTTCAAAACCCATCTCCAATTTGCCTCCTCCTTGAAGCCTGCTGGGAACTAGCTTCCAAACACATTTTACCTTCTCTTCTCTTTAGCTTGAAGCTTCCTTTGATAGGGACATGAGGAGTGCAGGTGGATACAGTTGTCCATTCCCTGTCCCCAACACTTAGATGGGTGGCTTCATATCTGGTGATCCCATGGTGAATATCTCCCATCCCACCAGCCCACCCTCTTCTTTATACAGAGACACTTCTATATGGCCGGGAACACGCACAACCTTCTACTCTTCTCTCTGCTGTGAATGTATGGTTCTTTCCACATGTGTCTCATTTATCAGGAAGACTTAGAAAGGCTTAGGACCGTTCTCTGTGCTGTGCTTGACGTGGCACACAGACCGATGAGGCCACTGCATCCTTTCAAATCAAAGTAAAAAGAGGTGTTGGCAAGTGGGGAACGTTCCAGGCTGGGAGTCAGGAGGCCTGGTCTTTCTTGGACTTGCTTTGTGACCTTGAGCTGGACATGGCCTCAGCTTCCCTTCCACCATCTGCTCAAGGGGAGCTGCGGTCCTCGCCGGCTTCATCCCCTCCCTCCCTCCCAGAGCTGTTTTGCGTTCAGAGAAGATAATGGATGTGAGGCCCCGGGGCTCCGTGTAATTCTGATTAATATTAATGATTCGACACGCAGTTGCCTGCTGCGCTCCGCTCCAGGCCCAGGGCCAGCTGCCTCTAAATGCAGGAGCTCCAGCGGCAGAATGCTGGACTGCTCCCCTCCTCCCCCGGCCCCCCCAGCTCTGGGCATCCCCCCACCACATGCCAAGGGGTTTTTTGTCTCCTCTCTTCACCCCTAGATTTTTTCCCTGGGCCACTGCCCTAACCAGGACTGGCTGGCCGTTGGCATGGAGAGCAGTAGTGTGGAGCTCCTACATGTCCGGAAGCCCGAGAAATATCAGCTGCATCTCCATGAGAGCTGCGTGCTGTCCCTCAAGTTTGCCTCCTGCGGTGCGTCTCTGGGGCTTGGGCAGGGCCTCGGGGAGCTGGGGAGCTGAGGCAGGGTTGCCAAAACACAACAACAACAACAAAAACCCACAGCAGAAAAAAAGGATGCCTGATTACATTTGAATCTTAGATAAACAACACATCACTCCTTAATAGATGTCCCAGGTATTGCATGGGACAATACTCTAACCAGAGGTCCCAAACCTCTGGGATCTATTGCCTGATGATCTAAGGTAGAGCTGATGTAATAATAATAGGAATAAAGTGCACAATAAATATCATGTGCTGCAATCACCTTGAAGCCACCCCCTCTTATCTTGTTCCCCATGGAAAAATTATCTTCCATGAAACCGGTCCCTGGTGCCAAAAAGGTTGGGGACCACTGCTCTAAAGGACAAAGAATTTGTTAGCAGGTCTCAAGCACCTTGTGGGATATACTTGTACACTAAACAGCATATAATTTATTAGCATAAGTATATCCCCCAAATGCATGAGATATGATTTATACTATTTTAATGCAGATAGATCTCAAATATTGCATGGGATATACTTACACTAATTTTTTGTTGTTTTCAGTACTGATATATCCCAAGTAGTTCATGAAACTTATATATACTTAAAAAAAACGGGGGGACTTCTCTGGTGGCCCAGTGGCTTCCAATGCAGGGAGCCTGGGTTTAATCCCTGGTTAGGGAACTAGATCCCACATGCCCTAAGACCTGGCACAGCCAAATAAATATTTGTTAAAAAATAGATAATGAACTATTTGGGACCCACCTGTACTAAAAATGATACATGGTTGATCTTAGGTTCAAATGTAACTGAGCACCCTGGTTTTTCTTTTTGTTTTGCTTCTTTCCCCCCATTTTGGCCATGCCACATAGCTTTTGGGATTTTAGTTCCCTGAGCAGGGATTGAACCTGGTCCCTCAGCAGTGAAAGCAGAGTTCTAACCACTGGACAAGTAGGGAACTCCCTGGGCACCCTATTTTTATCTGGCCACCCTCTCTTGGGGCTCCCCCTTCTTGAAGGTCAGTTGGAGCTCTTTGGGACCTTGGGTTCACCATCTGGAACTTGGGAGGAAGGCTGGAGCCTCCGCAAAGGGGCTTCCTGTCTGCCAGGGGAGGGCAGAGATGCAGGAAAGGGAGGGAGAGGACAGACCAGGTTGCCCTGTCTCTGTCCGCCACCCCCGGCCCTGGCTTCCTCCAGTCCACCGCCCTCCTGAACTCACCCTCCTCCCCCAGGGCGGTGGTTCGTGAGCACGGGAAAGGACAACCTGCTGAATGCCTGGAGGACGCCGTACGGGGCCAGCATCTTCCAGGTACTGCATGTCTGAGGTCTCTGCCCCCACACCACCACTGCAGGACACCAGGTGCCCCAGGACCCAGAGAGGGGTGGGGGTTCGACAGGGGAGCGTCCTCACCAGCCTGGAGCCTCTAAAGCAGGCGGTCAGCCTGAAGGCCACATCTGTGCACAAACTGTGTTATTAGTTGTGATAAATCCATATAAAATTCACCATCTTAACCATTTTTAAAGGCACAGCTCAGTGGCATTAAGTACATTCACACTGTCCTACAGCCACCCCTACCATCATCTCCAGAACTTTCTCATCTTCCCAAGCTGAAACTCTGTCCCCATGAGACACTGACTTCCCATCCCCCGGCCCCACTGTCTACTTCCTGTCTCTGTGGATTTGATGACTCATATGAATGGGATCACACACTTTATTCTTCTGTGTCTTGCTTCTCTCACTGAGCATCACATCCCCAGGGTCCATCCATGATGCAGCAGGTGTCAGAACCTCCTTCTGTTTTAAGGAATATAAAGGCTGATATCCTACTGTGTGGGCAGACCACATGGATACTAGGATTGTTTCCACTTCTGGGCGGCTGTGAATTGCGCTGCTGTGAACATTCATGTACATTCTCCTGTGCATGCCTGTTTTCATTTCTCCTGGGCAGCTATCTTGGAGTGGAATTGCTGAGAGTTGTTTAATTTTTGGAGGAACTGCCAGACTCTTTCCCAAATTTTTCATTCCCACTGGCAACATGGAATGGTTCCGATTTCTCTCCATCCTCCACAACACTTGTTCTGGCGTCTTTCTTAGAGCCATCCTGCTTGATGAGGAACGGTTTTTACATTTTTTAAAGGGTTGTGGGGGAAAAAAAATAGTAGATGATGTAACAATGACTGATTTGGTTCTTGTACTTACTGGCCAGAGCTCATTGGACTTAAATGAACTTTCAGGTCAAAGCCTGAAAATTTACCATTGGGCCCTTTTCAGTAGTTTGCTGAGGGCATTCCCTGGTGGTCCAGTGGTTAGGACTCTGTGCTGTCACTGCCCAGAGCTTGGGTTCAATCCCTGGTTGGGAAACTAAGATCCCTCAAGCTGAGTGGCCAAAAAAAAGAAAAACTTTGCGGAGTGCTGGTGTAGGTCATCCTGCTTTAAGCCTTAGCTCTCTTCTGTGCTGTGTGACCTCATGTCTGGTACACACCCTCTCTGAGCTTCCCAGGAGATGGCGGTTCTCCTGTTCTAGGGAACTGAGTTCCTGCTCTTCCCAGGAGCATCATCACTGTTCTCTGGAAGAACTGTTACCCTCCTTCTCTCCTCATGGCCAGGCTCACCGTGTTGGGCCCCCAAGTCCTGTCTCAGCTCCGGCCTTGACCATGGCTCACCCCTGGGGACAGGCGCTGCCCCAGTTGCCTTGTGTCTTCCCTCTGAACGTGCAGGTGGTCAGGAGCATGAGCCAGACCATGCTGGCCTTGGCCGCGCCTCACTCTCCCCTCCCCCTCCCCATCCTGTCCACAGTCCAAGGAGTCCTCCTCCGTGCTCAGTTGTGACATCTCCGGGAACAACAAGTACATCGTGACAGGCTCTGGGGACAAGAAGGCCACCGTGTATGAGGTGGTCTACTGAGACCCCCCTCTTCCTGCACCCTGGCCTGACTCCCAGGGAAGGGTCATTCTGAACCTCCCCCCTAGTCCTACCACAAGCCCTAAATCTCATCCATGCTCTGACTGACCCCTCATGTCCTCCCCTGCTGGATATGGGGCCAGATGCACAGGGGGACCTTGGGGAAATAAATGTATTTATCACAACTGCCTTTTTGTTTTGGGTTGGAGAACTGGGGACATTGCTCATCCCGGAGGGACAGGGTGAGCAAATGGTGATTTCAGAACCTTACTTAGTGGGTGGAAAAGTGCTGACCAGCAAGAGCCACCCCCTGTAAACCACTCTCCTCCTCAGCACAGCTGACATTGGGGCTGCATAATTCCCGGTTGGGGAGCCATGCCAGGCCCTGTGGGGTGCTGAGCAGCATCCCAGCCCCCACACACTCAATGCCAGGAGCACAGATGTCCCCAGACCTGGTCCCCTGGGGCTTAGACTCACCCCTGGGGAGTAGAAGCCCTGGTCTAATGGGACACAGGTATTTTGGGAAGGACTGAGGACCCACTCCTGGGGCTGTGCAGGCAGGGCTGGGAACATCTCTCCATGAGATCAGAAGAGCTCAGTGGAGCAGGAAGAAGGGCTCCAGAGACTTCGCTGGCAGTCCACTGGTTAAGACTCCATGTTTCCACAAAAGGGGGCATGGGTTCCATGCTTGGTTGGGGAACTAAGATCCCTCATGCTGCATGTGCTAAGCCGCTTCAGTCTTTTTGCAATCCCATGGACTGGAGCCTGCCAGGCTCTTCTGTCCATGGAATCCTCCAGGCAAAAATACTGGAGGGGGTTGCCATTTCCTCCTCCAGCTGTGCCGCACACTCAGAAAAAAAAAAAGGCAGGGGGCTCCATGTCCAGTTCTCTTGATGGCAGGGGTCAGCGGCTCTGACCCGACTCTCAGGAGAGATGGACTCAAATGTAGAGACCTGGGCTGGACAAAGTCCCTTCAAACCTATCACGAGGTGCCAGGGGACAGGACACAGCACTAGAGCAATGCTTTTTCCAATTGCTTTATTACATGTGACAAAGATCACTCATCGTGCGAGCCCACCCACCCTGTCGAGCCCTCAGTATGTGAGCTGGTACACCGAGGCGTGGTCCCTGGACCCTGTGACGATCAGGTGGCTGCTGGGGGACACGTCACAGCACATGACAGAGGATCTCTCGGGCACCTGGGAGGGTTGGGGGGCAGAGCGAGGGACTCACCCATTCTTGTTCTTAACATCTGCCCATCCATTCAAACGTGGTCCCTTTTGGTGGGGGGCCTCTGCATTTGGACCCCTAGGCTTGGTCCCCAAGCACCCAGGACACACACACGCCACCCTCCCGCCCTACCCTTGTACCTGGACTGCCATGGTCCCTGTGGGCATGCTGAAGATGCTAACCAGGTTGTCTGTTCCCACACTCACCCACCACTGGCCTGGGAAGAGGCAGAGGGGGGCCCAGTCACAGAGAAAGCTGGCAGCTGAGGACTGGACTCCTGGGGATCTAGGAACTGGAGCCCCTCACACCTCCCTGAGTGAGCCCCTGCAGATAACAGCTCTCAGGGGAGTTCCTGCCGATGAAGGGCATGGTCAGGGGGGTTGGTCAGGAAGGGTCAGAAAGGGCTGAGCAGACTTTCCTGGTGGTCCAGGGGTTAACACTCCATGCTCCCAATGCAGGGGCCCCAGGTTCGATCCCTGGTCAGGGAACTAGATCCCACATGCTGCAGCTAAAGATCCTTCATGCCGCAACTAAGACCCAGTGCAATCAAATACATAAATATTAAAAAAAGAGAAGAAAGGGCTGGGTGGAGTGGGTCTTAGTGAGGCAGGGCCCTGTGGGAGGCTGAGGATCGCTGGGGACCCCGGGGGACTCCCCAGTCCCTTCCTGGCCACTCACCCACAGGGGAGAACTTGAGTCCAAGGATGGTGCCGTCCTTATACCCCACCATGCGCTTCTGGCCCCCGAGGCTGGGCTGCAGCCACTGCTGGCCATTGGCCGTGCCCACCAGCACCCAGTCCTCATGGGGGCTAGGGGACAGGCTCATTATCTGGGGAGAAGACAGCAAGGAAAACATTGGTCAGGTCCAAGCCAGGTCAAGAGGTGGCAGGAGCCCAGGAACCCACACTGGGGGCCTGCCTGCTTCCTGGCTGGGAGGCACCAACAAGCAACTTCACATTTCCAGCCTAGTTTGGCTCATCTACAAAATGAGTGTGGTCCTCTCTACCTTACCAGATTATCACAGAGACTCAAAACATGATCCCTTGATACAGAGTACAAAAGCATACAATGTTATCTGGGCAATGGAGGGGGATGTAGCTAAGGAACCCTCTCTTCACAGCATCATGGAGACTTGAGGTCCCACTCCCCCTACCCTTCCCCCAGCATCAACCTCCTTCAGTCCCAGGCCCAGCTGCTACCTGACCAAGCAGGCCCCATCCCAGCTGCACACCTGAGATTCAAACTGGTATTCTTGGGGCTCCCCAGTGGCCCTCAGATCCCAGCACCGCAGGCAGGCATCCAGACCCCCTGTCCAGACGTGCTGGTCTTTAACAGCAATGCTCTTGGCACCGTTCGGATGTCCCGGCAGGTCCCTGGCCCAGGAGAGGCATAGGCAGGGAGGTCAGAGCTGAGACTTTAAGCTCTGCGCCCCCAGGAACACCCAATCACATTCCCCAGGGGTGAGTCTAAGCCTCAGGGGACCATGTCTGGGGACATCTGTGCTCCTAGCATTGAGTGGGTGGGGGCTGGGATGCTGCTCAGCACCCCACAGGGCCTGGCACAGCTCCCCAACTGGAAATTATGTCGCCCAATCACATCGGGGTGATAGATGGGGAAACCAACGCAGACAAGAAGTCCCACAATGTGGCTTCAAACAAACAGCCCAGCTGTGACATGAACCCAGGTCTTCAACTCTCCAGTGTTAAGAGTTCCCAAAGGAAAGGGGCTTTTGCCTTGAAACTGCTGGGTTCCTGCTCAGGGGCCAGGCCAAGACAGAAAGGGGCTCTCCCCCGGGCCACACCTGACCACACTCCAGTCCCGCAGGTCCCAGATCCTGACGCTGCCATTGGTGAAGCCAGCAAAGGCCAGGCTGTCCTCAGAGCTGGCAGCCAGGGCCTGGCAGGTGAGGCCCGCGCAGGGCAGTTCGGCTGTCACGTGCAGGGAAGGCGCCGTCAGGTCCCACAGGCTCACGCCCGCCAGGTTGTGGCCGCCCGCGAGCAGGGCCGTGCTGTCTGAGAAGAGCAGGCAGGTGCGCAGGTAGGCCCCTGGGGTCTGGGGTGGGCAGAGCCTGAAGTGAGCTTCCGCCCCTGCAGGGGCCGAGGCACTCCCAGTTCCCACCAGCCCCGCCCAGAGCCCTCACCTTTACTCTCAGGAAGCTCTCTGGAAACCTGGCCTTCGTCACCTGGCCCACCAGGCTCCACACCTTGACGCCACCCCTGCCGCAGGTGAAGGCGTGCCGGGTGAAGCTGCTGATGGCCGTGGCCAGCACGGGCTCCCCGTGTTCTAGTCTCTGCATCTTCTCCACTCTGTGTGGGACGGCCAGCTTCCTGGACTGCCAGGGCAAGGCATCAGGCCTATTCCATGTGTTTTCAAAGTCCTCGGGGTCCCAGCATCTTGAGAGAGAAGGCTTCAGAGTCAGCAGCCTGCCTGAGAGCCTCTCTGCCTGGAGTAGGGCACCTGGCAAGCCCCAAAGTGGCTTCCTTCCTTTTTAGGTTCGGGGATTCTCTCAAGCTTCACTTCACCACACTCTACATCCTCCAAGTATTATCTGTCTCCTGTTATGGAACACTGCTCCCCTCTACCCAGAATGCTTTGTCCTATCCCAAACTCCTACTCATCCTTCAAGGCCCTTCTTTTTTTCCCAAGGGGCATTTTGCCCCTTCCTCCAGGAAGTCTTCTCACCCCTACATCTGGGCTCCCCTCGCCTCAGACCACAGGTTGGAACATACTTACATGGGCTTCAGAAATTGATAGGTCTTCCTGGCAAGCTCCTGTGGGTGAATGAGGTCACACCTGAGCCACATCCCCCTCCTGTCTTGACCGCCTCCCCCCCAGCTTTTGTGTGGAGTGCAAGGTCTTACTTACCTGGGCCATGTGGGAGGACATCCCCTGTCCTATAGCACCCAGGCCTGGGCTTCCCTCTCGGGAGCCCTCAGAGGAACTGGGGGAGGGCGTGGGTGGGAGGAAAACTGGGCAGAGACAAGAGTGAATCAGTGGCGGGTGTGCCCCCTCCCCCCCAGGGCAGACTGCCCTCCTTCCCCTGGATTACCCAGAGTGTCTTTGGGAAGCACTTTCACTCCCAAGTATCGTGGTCCCGGCTCCTGGCTCTCCTGCCCATGGGAATTGGGGAAATCAGTTCAGACCAAAGGATGTGCCAGGGTTGGTCTGAGAAGCAGAACACGGTGGGAGGGCCCAGAGAGTGTGGACAAGATGCTCCAGCTGCCAGCAGTCCCATCCTTCCGTTGAGGCTGAGCTGCAGGTATTCTCTGAGGGTCTCCAGGGAGTAAGGGGGGGGGGGGCAGGCCAATCCCACAGGAACCCAGAGGTCCCTACCAGGGGGCTCACTCAGGACAAAGCCCACTCCTCTGGGTAGTAAGGATTCCGGTTACTTACATGGTCTGGTGTCTGGTCTGTTGCTATGATGACAAGAAGGGATAAGGGAGAGAAGGCAGGGCAACCAAGTTCAATGGATGCTGCCTCTCCACATGGCCTGAGCCCCCCAGTCTCCACACCCCCAGGGAGACTCACTCCTGTGTCTCGGGCGCTCCCCCTGGTCCTGGGTCCCAGCAAAAATCTCCCAGAGCTGCTCCGTCAGAATATCCTGTGAAAACCGGGGCTCTGAGTCCCAGCACGGCTGCGTGTCTCGCTTGCGGACTGTGTCACTGTCCACTCGGGGGGATCGCTGGAACCAGTCGGATGACCTCATGACCAGTACGTCTTCGAAGTCTAGATCCTGGAGACCGGAGGTCTGTGGGGGTGTGGCCCCTGGGTGCTGGGGGTCCTGGCTGGGTTGCTCACTGAGGGAGGCCTGGCTCCCTTGGTTCTGGAAGTGCAGGGTCGTGGGTGAGGGGCACAAGGATGCACCATTTGCCCTGAGCCCATCCCCACCCTCCTGGAGCACCCAGGAACCTACCTCCCCCAGCTGGAAGCCTAGGGATTGGCTGCAGGTCTCCACCATCTGTAGGAAGTTTTCTGCCTGGAGGCGAGAAGGTCATCCTATTAAAGCTTCATTAAAGGACAGCCCTGGGGGACCTCCCTGGTGGTCCGGTGGCTAAGACTCCACACTCCCAATGCAAGGGTTCGATCCCTGATCAGGGAACTAGATCCCACATGCTGCAAGAGTTCAAATGCCGCAGCTCAAGATCCAGCATGCTGCAACCAGTCAACCCTAAAGGAAATCAACCTGAATATTCATTGGAAGGACTGATGCTGAAGATGAAGCTCCAGTAGTTTGGCCATCTGGTGTGAAGAGCCGACTCATTGGAAAAGACCCTGATGCTGGGAAAGACTGAAGGCAGGAGGAGAAAGAACGACAGAGGATGAGATGGTTGGATGGCATCACCATCTCAATGGATGTGAGTTTGAACAAACTCCAGTAGACAGTGAAAGACAGGGAAGCCTGGTGTGCTGCAGTCCATGGGGTTGCAAAGAGTCAGACACGACTGAGCGACTGAAGACCAACAACAAATGCTGCAACCAAGATTGAAAATCCCATGAGCTGCAACTAGGACCCAGTGCAGTCAAATAATTAAAAAAAAAAAACACACAAAAAAAACCTTGAGGACAAACCTGTTCCAACAAGCCAGTTTCCTCATGGGCAATATGGGGTATACCACCTCCCTTGAACATTTTTGGGTGGATTTGTGGTCATCCAGCAAAAACCAAGCTCTTGGTACCCAGAAGGTAACCATGGCCGCGGGTGACAAAAACCGAGCCCTAACGACCAGTCACCACTCTAAGATGGTCAGGTCATCAAGCTCATATTTTCTTGGGCCTGGATACCATTCCCACTTAAAATGGCTTCAAGAAGCAAAGCCCTGTTACCCAGGTTCCCCCCGTGTGGGGATGACATTTGAATATGCTGAAATGTTGCAAAGATCCTAAGAAATCAATGGTTTCCTCTTCAGGAGCAGGGCTGGCAAGAGGGCAGCCAGGGAACCTGGTGGGAGGGTCACTTATTCACCAGTTAAAGTGGTGCCAAGGCTTCTCTGATGGTCCAGTGGCTAAGTCTCTGTGCTCCCAATCCAGGGGGCCTGGGTTCAATCCCTGGTCAGGGAACTAGATCCCACATGCCACAAGTAAGACCCCGGTGCAGCCAAATAAATATTTTAAAAAATAAAAGTTGAGCAATGTGACTGCTACCGATTCCAGGTTTAAGTCAACAGTTTCTGTGGTCACGGAAGGCTCCCTAAATTTTCTTTCTCCCTCCCAGCAGGTTGTCCATCTGTTCCTTTAGGACAGGCTCCCTCCTATGGCATGTCCTACTGCTTTTCTCCACAAAGCTTTTCTGGCCCAAGTACTAGAATCGATTTTAACCTCTCCTTCCTTGAGACTGTGCTGCCCTGCACAGACTGGCTGCAGGTGGCTATTTAAATATAAAGTTAAGTATAATTAAAAATGCAGGCACTTCTTGGTGGTCCAGAGGTTACAGGTTCTATCCCTAGTCAGGGAACTAAGATCACACATGAAGTAAGACGTGGTCAAAAAAAAAAAAAAAAATGCAACCCTGAGGCCCACTGGCCACATCCAAGGGCTCAAGAACCAAGGACAGGGATTTTCCCAGTGGACCAGTGGCTAAGACTCCAAGTTCTCAATGCAAGGGGTCTGGGTTTCATCCCTGGTCAGGGAACTAGATCCTACATGCCTCAACTAAGACCTGGTACAATCAAATAAATAAAAAGAACCAAGAACCAAGCTCCTACAATGTTCCTGGCCTCCAGCCGAGGACACAAACCATCCAAGACAGGAAGCCCCCCTACAGTACTGCCAGGAATTCGCTGTGGAGACCCACCTTCTCGGGCTGATAAGAGGTTCTGTGAGAATGTGTGTATATGCAGCTATATTTAGTCCAGGAAGACTAAATATAGTGATATTAAGAATATTCTAGACCTGCCTAAGGTTGAGTCCTGGACATGTGGATGGTGCCACTTGATTGCCAACTAAAATGTAAATAGCCACACGTGTCCCATGTCTACTGCAGAGGAGGATACGGGTTCAGTCTTTGGCCTGTGGCTTTGGAGGCAGTGCCCATGGGCCTTACCAATGCACATGCCTCTTCTCCGGATACCAAGATGCTGTTTGGTCCAGGGTGAATTCCGAAATTCTGGGGAAATGTTCTGACTCACAGAAAGAAATAACTGCTAAGGAATGTGGGGTGAGTGCTGACTGTGGCTCTCAGTTCTGTTGAACGGGTACCACTGAGGTTCCCATCCTGCAGATGAGAAAACGAGGCTCAGAGCCCCAAAGTCAGGATATGCGGTGGCTGGGCTGTGTTTACCTGTCCCCACTTGCAGCCTAGTCCCATCTCCTGCCTGTCACTGGGGCGGACAGGATGGGGGAGGGAGAGGCTGGGGTGAGGACCCCCTCCCCAAGCCCTCGTAGCTCCAGGCGGCTGCTTCCTAGGGCAGCCAGAGATGGATTCCCCAGCTGGGCCTCCCAGCAGCACAAGGCCCAGGGGAGCCTTCCCCAATTCGCCCTGGCTCGTTAATGCGCAATTTACTGGCACTTTAATGCACTCAGCATGAAAAGTGCTGCTCCCTCCTGCCTGCGAGCTGGCCCTCCCTGGGGAGAGCTGTGTGCAGGCGGGCTGGGGAGCTAGGGGCCCTGCTGCTGCTGCTCGGGATTTTAAATGCGCATTGAGGGAAGCTGGTAGAGGAGGGACAGAAAACAGGGGAGGGGGCGGTGGTCTGTGCAGAACCACGAGTAAGCATTACCTGGGGCTCTCTGTGGGGGGAGGGCTGCTTGGTGGAGACCCTCTGGGATCCTCATCAGACCCTTCGATGCTCAGCACCTGCTATGAATTTCCTCCTCCCAACACATTCCACTCTGCCTGTTTCTCACCAACAAACCTTCCCAGTGACCAGCCTCCCACACATGGATAGTCCTAACTGGACCCCAACTCATGTCCCTCCTCCCCGCAGCGGGCACCAGAGGGTGCTGGTGAGCATCTGAGTCAGGGCCTGCCCTGTCCTCTGCCCACAGCCCTCCAGGGCTCCCACCTTCGGGAGAGCAAAAACCCAAGTCCTCCTGCAGCCCCCAAGGCCCTGCACGACCTGCCCCATCTCCTCCCTCCCTCCTCTCCTTCCTCTTTCCCCTTGGCTCACTCTGCTCCAGCCACAGGCCCTCCTGGTTCCTCCAACACGTCAGGGCCAGGAACAGTCCTGCCTCAGGGCCTTTGCACAGGCTGTGCCCTCTGCCAGGTCTACTACTCATTCCAGACATCTATCCTCCCTCCTTCTCTGATCTCCTTCAAGAGTTTGCTCAAATGTCACAGAATCTTCCTTGACCACCCTGAACTGTAACCCACTGCCACCTTGGTACCCCCCTCCCTCCACATCCCCTTGAGGCTGCTCAATTCCGCCTCCCACCATGCCCAGTCCTCACCACCTGACACTTCTGTTTACCAAGCTCCTCTCACCCCAAGGGCAGCGGTTTGTCTGTGTTCTCTTTTGCTATTTCCCTGGCGCCTACAACCGTACTTGGCAAGGAGGTGATGGATAAATATCTGTTGAATGAATAACCGTGTTCTGCTTGCTTCCTGGCCCCTCCTCCTCCACTCTGCTCTACTCTGGATCTGTCTTTCCCTGTTCCCTGAGCTTCTCACCCCAGGCTCTGCTAAGTCGCAGACACAGCCCTGGCCCTCCGCCAGTCACATGTGGCACAGGCGGAAAAGTCCTGACAGTGCCCAGGAGAAAGGAGCCAGGTGGTGGGAGGACAGGCAGGGTGGAAGCTGTGCTTCAGCCTGGGCAAGGCGCCCCAAGTGGGAGGAGGGGAGGCCTGGTGCAGGCCTGCTCTCCCCAGCCAATGTGAGCCAGGCCGTTGAGAACCTCAGATACATGGAGACTGCATTTGGCTGTGCCTGGCACATAATGGCCCCTTCCCAGCAGAAGTAACTGACCTATGAAGTGCTGACAGGCCCTTGGCCTTCTCTAGCCCCAAGGGGATTGGGAGCAGGCCCAGAAGGAAGAGGCACAGGATCGGAGATGCACTCCTGAGATGTGGGGCTACCTCATATCCTGGGGTTCCACTTCAGGCCCTACGCCCTCTATCTGCAGCCCTCCTACCTCCCAGGGGGCAGGGGGAAGCCCAAGTCTTTCCCTGCAGCCTGCTAGGGCATGTACCACCTGACCTGTCCCTCCCTGCCCTCCCCTCTTCCCTCTGTCCCCCTTTTTCCTGCTGTGCAAGGAGGGCAGCCCTCCCTCGCCACCCAAGCTCCCATCACTCATTCACCTGCTTGAGATGCTCCTGGATCCCCTGCTGGATTTTCAGGACCTGCAAAGAACACCAGCAATCACATGAGGAGGCGGTCGACGGACATGAGCAAGAATGCAAGACTTAATGCTGTGCGGCCCTCTCCCCAGTTGTGTGACCCTGGACAAGTTGTGATACCTCCCTGGTCTCTGCTCTCATCAAATGGGATATGGCCAACCATACTCAGAGTGGGAGGTAATTAGGGAGACCCCTGGCAGTCATGCTTTCAAACTGTGGTGCTGAAGAAGACTCTTCAGAGTCCCTTGGACTGCAAAGTAGATCAAACCAGTCAATACCAAAGGAAATCAACCCTGAATACTCATTGGAAGGACTGATGTTGAAACTGAAGCTACAATACTTTGGCCACCTGATGCAAAGAGCCAACTCATTGGAAAAGACTCTGATACCAGGAAAGATTGAGGGCAGGAGGAGAAGTGGGCAACAGAGGATAAGATGGTTGGATGGCATCACCACTTAGTGGACATGAGTTTGAGCAAGCTCCAGAGATAGCGGAGGACAGGGAAGCCTGGCATGCTGCAGTCCATGGTGTCGCAAAGTGTCAGACATGACTGAGTGACTGAACAACAACCGACTGTCATTCTAGGTATGAAGAGAAGATCAAAGGGGGCTGTGACCTGCCCTGTCCCCTCCCTGCCCTCTCCGCCTCCTTCTTTCCCCCTCACTCGCTGCTCCAGCCACATGGGCCTCCTCACTGTTCCTCCAACAACAGGCACAGTCCTTCCCCAGGGCCTCTGCACATGCTATGCCTGCTGCCTGAAACAACCTTCCCTGTTCTCTCTAGGGTGACAGAAACTCCCTATCTTTGATGTCTCGCTGAGCACGTCACTTCCTCCAAGAAGCCCTTCCTGACTACCTGAGCTCAAAACCCTGACTCATTTTCACCCCTTCACCTTCTATTTTCTTTTAAGCACTTACATTTTTGTGAAATCTTGCTTCTCTAGTTACATATTTGTCTCCCTCCTCCCTCTAGAGCTGCTCGGTCCAATGAGGGTGCCACCAGTCAAATAAGGCTCTTTAACTTTAAATCAATGAAAATTCAACTCCTTACAGGAGCACAGTAGCCACGTAGGGCTGGTGGGTGCCATACTGGACCCTGTTGATAGAGAACATTCCTAACATCATGGAAAATTCCAGAAGACAGCACACACTGGAACATAAACTCCTGAAGGGCAGAAACTCTAGTCATATGCTGTATACTAACTGACCAACTGTGGCCTGAAGAAACATCTCCGTAATTTAAATTTGGAATTGCTTGTTTTCACAGCGAGGTTTTTATTAATTAAGAAAAACGCACATGGGCTTCCCTGGTGGTTCAGCGGTAGCATGGGTTCAGTTCCTGGCCAGGGAAGATCCCACATGCCTCAGAGCATCTGAGCCCAGGCGCCACAGCTCTGAGCCTGTGCTCTAGAGCCTGAAAGCCACAACTACTGAGTCCCATGCTCTGCAATGAGAAGCCCTCAACCCCAACTAGAGAGTAGCCCCCACTCACCACAACTAAGGAAAGCCTGAGAACAGCAACAAATACCCAGCATAGCCAAAAATAAAAAATAAAAATAAAAGTGTCTATGACTGAATTCCATTTAAAAGAAGAAAAACACATGAAGCTGGGGCTCAGTGGGTTCTTTGCATTGCCTAAAGCAAGCAAAATAGAGAAGGTGTCCCCTAACCCAGATTATGAGACTAAACACAACAGCCTTTCCAGGTGGCTCCAGACGGGCTGACAGGTGGGGGTGGGGCTCACCAAGCCGTAAGCGAGGTCCACCTGCGTCGTCAAGTGAGTGGGTAACCTGCCAGGGAAGACAGACCTGCTGGAAGTGGAGGCCTCAAGACCATTCCCCAGAATGTGCCCTGCCTTCAGTCCCCCAGCAGGGCAGTTCCATTAAGGGAGCTAGTCCCTTCCACGTGCCACACTAAAAGCAGTGTCAAGATGAACATGATTTTAATGCAGTATTTTACAAAATATAATTGAATGAGAGCAAATTCATACTGAACCACACACAGTCAAAAATTGAAATGAAAGCCAGGATTGGTATTACTGGTTTTCCTTTCCTTTTGCGTCACCCTCCAACATGGTCGCCGCCCACACTGGTCCTGTATTTTGGGCCATGGAGACAAAGTTGGGGTTCTTTCCCTCTATGGGACTTCCGGCCACAGTGGTGCCTCCAGACCCCAGGGATTGTCCTCACCTGGGGAAGTGCTGCTTGAGCTGATCCAGGGCGTCCTGATAGTTTCGGGCTGGAAGGTTGGCCTGAGGATGCTCCTGGAGAAGTCAAAGTGGGGGATGAACAAAACCCACAGATGGCCAGTATACTTGCTGTCAGGTCATCAGCCCCCAAGAGGGTGGGGCAGGACCTCCTGAGACCTGAAGGTCATGTGCTCTCTCTCCATTATTACTTAAGTACCCACACGGTATCTTCCATCTTGATTCTTGGCCTAAAGTTGAAAATATTTACTTTCTGGCCTGTTACGGAAGCTTGCCGACCCCTGGCCTAAACTGTTAGAAGTGGTTTTCTCTGGGAAGTAATGGGGTCGGGGGCAGGAAAGGGGAAGGGACTTTTGCTTGTAAAATATTAACTGAATAAATGATGTAGCCAGGTGTTTATCACCTGGGTGATAAAATGTTTAATTTTAAAACGAAAGTGCCTTAAAGTATGATGGCTTTGTATCCCCAGCTTAAAGGCCAGCCCATGTCCCTCCCTTAGGAGCAGGAGAGCAGCCCAGCTGTTACCTCCTCGCCCCTCCCCTCAGGGATAATGCCTCACCATGTTTTGAGGGTGCCCGTGGGGGCTGAGACGACCCCAAGAGGTCACTCTTCAGGCTGCAGTAACAAGGACTTTAGCCAGGGACTCTAAAATTAACAGGGAGATTACAGATCCTGAGCACAGAAGGCTGATCGGGAACAGAGACACAACCAGCTGCACCCCACCCTTGGCCCACCTTGATCCTCCCTCTAGGGCTGAGTCCTGGGCCTCCGACCCCTCCCTGACTGCCAGTACCCCACTGCATTCTCTACATCCGATGTTCATTCATTCACCTCTCTCTGCGGCTTCCAGCTGTGTTGATTCCTGGTGGGGAGCCCCCTGGGGCTTCACTCTACGAGGTGGGGGCACAGAGTATGGTGCCAAACACATACACTTCCTTCTAGGAGCAGTCAGGGCTGGAGGAAACCCAGAGAAAGATATCAAAGCTCAAACTTAATTTTGAGACAATTTCCTAAAGCACCGGAGAACATCATTTGGAAAGGGGTTTTGAAGGATGAATAAGAGTTGGCCAGGTGAATTAGAAATTTCTCAGGAAGAAAGAGACCTAATCAGTCCTGTGGCACTAAACTCCTTTACTTCTGCTCCTCAGCACCCTTCTAGCCCCCTCCCCAGCCCAGGGATCCTGGGGTCTGCCAAGAGATCCAAAGGCCTTCCCACCTCTTTTAGGATGGTGGCCCAGAAGGAAGCCGTCAGGGTCAGCCAAGTTCAGGCGGACAGGAAGCACCCCCCCACCCCCACCCCGGAGGCCACCGCCCCGCCGCCACCTGCACCACGAAGCCGGTCAATGAACTAGCAGCAGCTGCACGTGGGATCGGGCTCCGCAGGCGGCCGCCGGCGGCGCTGACCAATCGTAAGGGCGCTTACCCACGTGGGCCGCGACTCCCATATATGATTGGTCGGCTCTCCCCAGCCGCCGGACGGGCTGTCAATCAGCGCTCCCGGCGCCTACGCTTAACCCTTGCGGTCCCGAGGCTGGGAAGGGCAGCGTGTAGAGTTGTAAGCAATTTGGGGTCCCGGCAGGGATGAGGATATTTAGTTAAAGCAAGGGGCTTGGGGTCGCAAGGTGCAGCTTGAGGAGAGACTGGGAGGTGCGTATTCTCCTTGTTTTGTGAGAAGCCTCGTTAATTTTTCGTCCTGCCCTGGAGCGGCTCCTGGCTGAGGGTGGGGCGGGGAATGGAAGCGCTCTCACTCCTGATCCTTAGATATGGACTAAGCACCTTCTCCTCAGTATTAAATAACGTGCATTGCAAACGAAGCTTCGGTCCCCTTTCTTGGGGAAAATTCAAAGGCTCCCTTTTATCCAGCCTCCTAGGAGGCAAGCTTGGGGCTGTGCATTTTATCAGCGAATTTTCCCAGCAGCCCTCCAAGCCCCGGGACTGAGGCTCAGAGAAATCGGAGAACCAAAGGCAGGATACTGCGAAGGCCTTGAAACTGGTACACTTTTCCAGGTTCAAGGCCAAGGGGGGAAGCCTAGTTCTACTCTAGGCTTGGGGTGACCTCAAAGATAAGGGTGGAGTGTGTGTGGAGAGGTTCAGGAGTCCTGTTTTTGTTGTGAAATGACCTGCTTGAGATGGGAAGTGGCCAGTGCAGAGTGTGGGAGTGAGAGGTCGAGTTTGTACCCTCCCCAGAACCTGGCTGTTCCCTCCTGGGCTGTTCCCCCCGGCTGGATACTTCACCTTCAACTCTAGCTCAGAGGTCACCAGTTCAGGGAAGGCATCCATCCCCTGGACTCAGTTCTTATTTTTCTCCAAATCTGGTTTATATTGAAGCTAATCTTGTAATCTCCGTAGCCCTAAACCCTGCTGTGTTCAAAACTCACACAATGCTGATTCTCCTACATGTTTGCACCTGGCCACAGGCACTGGGGCGGGGGAGAGGGGGCCGCGGGAGTGGTGGTGAAGGGGGGCGGGAGTAGGCAGGTTTGCGATTCACACAAACCAGAGAAATCTCCTTCCCCACCAAAGTCCGAGCTTTGTCGTGGAGAGGGGGTGGACGTGGAAGGGAAACGGGTGACTGAGGGTTCAGATCCTAGGACGGTAGCCCCCAGAGGTTATGATGTAAACACACAATTCGGGTTCTGTGGCTTGTTTGTGAAGGAAAAAGTGAGAGCTGCCATGTATAAGCCTCAAATACAGGTTTTTGCCCACCATCCCTCCACTGGCCCATAATTGAAGTGTATTTTATTTATGGTCCAGCCTGCTAATTGCCTCCCTCTGCGTGCTCCACTCCTCTCCGTGGTTGTAGAGGGTCAGCCGGACACACCAGTTTATTATCCTGGGCTGTCTTGTCTCCCACGATATCCACTGGTTACCTGCGGTTATTTAAATGAAAATGAATTAAAACGAAATAAAATTTCAAACTCGGTTCCTCTGGGGCCACAGGCTGAATCAATGTCAACTGCTCAGTAGCCGCACCTGGCTGGGGACGTGGCTGCCCTGCAGATCTATAACACTCCCATCGTCTTAGAAAGTTCCGCTGGTTAGTGCAGGTCTGAGATTCTCTTTAATTTTGATTTTCTATTGGAGCATAGAAAATCTCCAGTATTGGGGCTTGCCAGGTGGCGTTAGTGCTTAAGAACCTGCCTGCCAATTCAGAAGACATGAGTTCAATCCCTGGGTGGGGAAGATCCTCTGGAGAAGGAAATGGCAATGCACTCCAGTATTCTTACTTGGCAAATCCCACGGACAGAGGAGCCTCATGGGCTATAGTCCATGGGGTTGCAAAGAGTTGGATGTGACTAAGTGACTAGGCACATAATTGATTTACAGTGTCGTGTTCAGTTCAGTCGCTCAGTTGTGTCTGACTCTTTGTGACCCCATGGACTGCAGCACGCCAGGCTTCCCTGTCCATCACCAACTCCCAGAGCTTACTCAAATTCATGTCCACTGAGTTGGTGATGTCATCCAACCATCTCATCCTCTGTTGTCCTCTTTTCCTCCTGCCTTCAGTATTTCCCAGCATCAAGGTCTTTTCCAATGAGTCAGTTCTTCATATCAGGTGGCCAAAGTATTGGAGCTTCAGCATCAATCCTTCCAATGAATAGTCAGGATTGAATTCTTTTAGGATTGACTGGTTTGATCTCCTTTAGGTCCAGGGGACTCTCAAGAGTCTTCTCCAACACCACAGTTCAAAAGAATCAATTCTTCAGCACTCAGCTCTCTTCATGATACAACTCTCACATCCATACATGACTACTGGGAAAACCATAGCTTTGACTAGACGGACCTTTGTCGGCAAAGTAATGTCTCTGTTTTTTAATATGCTGTCTAGGTTGGCCAAAGCTGCAGTCACCATCTGTAGTGATTTTGGAGCCCAAGAAAATAAAGTCTGTCACTGTTTCCATTGTTTCCCCATCTATTTGCTATGAAGTGATGGGACCGGATACCTTGATCTTAGTTTTCTGAATGTTGAGTTTTAAGTCAGCTTTTTCACTCTCTTCTTTCACTTTCATCAAGAGGCTCTTTAGTTCCTTGCTAAGTATTTAATTTACTAAATATTGTGTTAGTTTCATAGAACTGAAGTTCTTAAAAAAAAGAAAAGAGAAATTCCTGGGACTTCTCTGGTGGTCCATCAGTTAAGACTTCACACTCCTGATGCAGAGGGCCTGGGTCTGATCCCTGGTCAGGGAACTAGATCCCACATGCTGCAACTAAGAGATTGCATGCCACAACTAAAAAAATCCCAAGTGCCACAACTAAGACCCAGCATAGCCCAAGAAATATTTTTTAAAAGAGAAGTTCCTAAAAAAATAAATATTTTTTTTTTTTTTTTAAAAGAGAAGATCCTAGGTCCATGTAGAATTGGGAGGCATTTATAGCAGCACTTCTATCCTCACCCGTGGAAAGCCCCCTGCACCCGTAGCTGGGGTCATGGTGGGCCCTTTGGCTGGTGTGGGCTCACCCCTTCATCTTCCTTTTACTGTTCTCACTTGCTCCAGCCTGTCTGACAGGCATACAACCTCCTTGAGCCCTCAGGAAAGGGACAGATGACACAGCAGTGAGGAGGGAAGGAAGCAAAGATTTCCTTCTTGGCTCTCGAGTTGCTATGATTTACTTTGGAAAACCAAAGACTGATGAACATTTTCGAGAAAGCAGGCTTGCATTTCCAAAGCTTTGGAATTCCCTGGGCCTGGGAGATCTCCAGCCTGGCTGCCCAGAGGCCCCAGCGTCAGCTGGGTTGGGTGCGGACACAACAGAAGGCTCCAGAGAGAGGCCAGGGTGGAGTGACCAGAAGAAGGTGGTGACAGGTTTCAACCCCCACTCCCCCCATGTTCTCTCTGCTATTCCCAGAACCTCCCAGAGGGCCATGTGGGCCAGAGACAATGGCCAAGTGACCGGAGCAGGTAGAAGGGCCTTTGCATCCAGGCAACAGACGAAGGACCAAGAAGCATCAGAACAGGGACCATCCTGAGTCACTGACTGGGCTAGGATCTGCTCATAGCCCCATGTGCCCAGCTGGCCCCGTTCTCAGCCACCACAGTTCAGTTTAGTCACTCAGTCGTGTCCGACTCTTTGCAACTCCATGAATCGCAGCACACCAGGCCTCCCTGTCCATCACCAACTCCCGAAGTTTACTCAAACTCATGCCCATCGAGTCGGTGATGCCATCCAAGCTTTTTAATATGCTATCTAGGTTGGTCATAACTTTCCTTCCAAGGAGTAAGCGTCTTTTAATTTCATGGCTGCAGTCACCATCTGCACTGATTTAGGAGCCCAAAAAAATAAAGTCTGACACTGTTCACAAGAATCCCCTTAATCTTAGCCTGGCCCCAGGAAAAGTGAATTGATCAAATTACTAAGAATTGACTGAGGTTTGGTTTGTGCCACCTGGTGGAAGGAGGTTTGTATTTGTTTCCTGGCGCTGCTGTCACCAATAACCACAAACCGGGTGGCTTAAAACAACAGAAATGTATTCTCTTGCATTCTCGAGGCCGGAAGTCCAAAATCAAGGCTTTGGCAGCCTGGGGCCCTGCTCCTTTTGCAGGCAGCAGGGGGGGTCCTTCCTGCCTCCTTCAGGCTCTGGCTTTACTGGCCTCCTGAGCGTCCTTGGTTTGTAGAAGCATCACCCCTAGAGCTCTGCCTCTGTCTTCACACAGATCTGTGTGCAAATTTCACTCTCCTTCTTTTTAGGTGGTTATTTATTTATTTCATTGCATCGGATCTTAGTTGCATCACATAGGATCTTCAATCTTAATTGTAGCATGTGGGATCTAGTTCCCTAAGCAGGGATAGAACCTGGACCCCCTGCACTGGGAATCTTAGCCACCAGACCACCAAGGAAGTCCCCAAATTTCCCTCTTTTCATAAGGACACCAGTCACTGGATTTAGGGGCCCCCTCTAGTAGGACCTCATTTTAACTAACTACATCTGCTAAGATGCTATTTTCAAACACAGTCCCATTCCCAGCTATGTGTCTGTGTGTGTGCAAGGGGGGCAGGTTAGGACTAAAATCTATCTTTGTGCTTGTATGCTCAGTCGCTCAGTTGTGTCCAACTCTTTGCTACCCCATGAACTGTAGCCCACCAGACTCCTCTGTCCATGGGATTCTCCAGGCAAGAATACTGGACTGGGTTGCCATTTCTTCCTTCAGAGGATCTTCCCCACCCAGTGATCAAACCAGCATCTCCTGCATGGGCAGGCAGGTTTTTTTTTTTTAACCATTGAACCACCAGGGAAGCCCATCAGGGAGTGTCAGTTCATCCCAATTCATATTTTGTCCTGTAAGGACCCTAACTCTG